TTAGACAGCAGGACGGTGGTCATGGAAGTCGAAATGAGCTAAGGAGTGGTAACAAATCACCTGCCGGATCAACTAGCCCCTAAAATGGATGGCGCTTAAGCGCGCAATCCACACTCGGCCAGTGGGGGCAATGTACACCAAAACTTCAAATTCTCAATTCTTTGATGTGCGCAGAATTGCAAACAAAATTGTGGAAACGGAATTGCAAGCTGGCGAAGTTTTGATCAGCTAATCAGATATGGGCCAATCTCATGCACCTGATGAACAAGGACAGCTGAATCACATTTTACAGATTCACTCCGCGAGGGCTTCTGATTGTTGCACTCCAATACCAGATCATTATTTGTTGCCGTGTCTCGAAGATGTTCGACAAAGGTTCCACAGATACATATGTCTTGGTTGAAACGACCCGACGAATCCTCCTCTTGCCAACTTATATCAATGACACTGAGGATCACAACATCTCGTACATATGATCACAGAATAATCTTTCACTTTTATCGTCGCCGTACTGAGGCCAGGTCGACTTCCGGAATTCCTGTCCTCCAAACAGCCAGCGTTACACTAGACCGCACTAAGTACTCGCTGTCATGGATTTCTTCTCCAAGAGGATCGTACTCGCTTGATAAGACACCGTTTCAGGTACTAGCGAAAGCTCAAGTCCTCGAAATACCAACCCCTCGATCAGACATTGCGAGTGTCGGGACCCACGTCGAAATCAAAAACTAAGACTGATTTTCCCGACTGGTCTCATCATGATGTCAAAGATGGTAAATGATGAGAGTGGCGATGGGGGACGTGGGGGCACGCCAGAGCAAGACAGGAGACGGTATATTGGAGTTGGTGAGGGATCGGAGACGGTGAGGAGGGTGTGTAGGGAATTTAGCACCTTCTCCTTGTTGCTCATCCCCATCTGTGCAGAGACGGGCCAGCTGCTTCCGCTGCATGATTGACCCTTCAGGTCCCTCCACCATCGCCCGCGTTTTGGAGTGGGGCTCGCGACCCTGGTGCGAAATCGTCGCTTGATGCAACTCTTCACAGGCTAGAAAGCCTAGACAACGGGAAGAAAGAATAAAAAGAGAATGAAAGCAAGAAAGACGATTAAAAAAACTATAAATAAATAAATGAAATAAAATAAACACGACATGGGCCACCATTGCAGCTCACAATGAGCAGTTGTCCTGTAGATACTCTCCCCACTTTGGCCTTCTCCTTCTGTGGTCTATGGAAACTGCACATCAATTCTACTCTGTACATGCTTGGATTTGGACTCAGGTGCTGCTCTTTGAGCTTAACGGATACTTGTTGCTGCGACAATTGTTCGGAAGTAAATGTAAGTTTGGAAAGAATGTAAGGGAATAAACTATGGAACCGTTGGGTGCTTGGGAACAGAAGCCATTGTAGTTTCATACAAGGAATTTGTGGGTGGTGTTGTTTGTTGGTGGAGTGTGGACGTCGGTCCCTACTGCTTTATGAAGAATTTCATGTATTGATGTTTGTATGTTTATATATTAATGGTTTTTGTAAACACCGATGTTTTCTTGGTCATATTAGGTTGGATATTGAAAATTATGGACAATTTTTTTTTCTCATTTTAATAGAGACCAGAAGAAAAAAATAAAATAATTAAATTTGTGAATTTTGTATATGAAGTATACAAAATTATTGAATTTCGTTCTTCAATTTTTTTTAATTGAAAGAATTAACTTGTACCATCTAAACATTCATGTTTTAATTACAACATCATTTTTGGTAAAGAGTAATTTGTACAAAATGCCTATACACATCATTAAATACATATTTTCGTATTGCAATGTGTATGTGTGTGTGTGTGTATATATATATATATATATATATATATACATATATGAGAGAGACAGAGAGAGAGAGAGAATAAGAAAATCGTGTCTACATTTCAAGCAACAATCGAAAAGCTGCGTTAAGATTGACACTGCGGTGACTTCACGGCTTGGCACCCCTCGCTGCCAGTTAGTGACAGTTCGCATACTGGCATCGAAGTATACTCGTTTCATCCTTTTCTTTTCGCAACTTGTGGTCTGAGGAACATATCTCGCCCTCACCATGGAGATGCATTGATTAGGTCTGTTTTCAATGCAGCGACGGCGTCAGTGGGACCATGAATAGGCTCAAAAGAAAACGACAATTGTTGAAACGGGGTCAAAGCACAATCTGACCTGCCGGATCCATGCTTTCTGACACAGACAGTCCCTTGAAGTGAGGTGTAGATTGACGGAGCCATTGCATCTGTTTGTCTGTGAGCCCTTCCATGGATAGGCTTTCGAATCCACTAGATGCAGTGGTTATGCTTTTACTGCCGCCACGGAGACGTCATGAGCGCTGAGAAGTTTTGTCCGGTCCAGAGAAACTCATGAATGATTTCATGGATCCGACACGCGAGGCATACTTCTTATGTTCGATGACATCAAGGATGTGAGGGGAGGATATCGAGAATAGGAACGCTCATGACCTCCGATTCATCTATCGATGCAGGAATAAAACACAGGAAACTAGGTCCAGTTCAACAGCAAAATGCTCATATTCTTCGTGCCCACACTGATAATGTATAAAGCTCGAATTCGGTACTGACAAGCATCGCTCTGTCCGTCGGTCTGGCTGTCTGTCTTTCTATCTATATTCGTGTGTGTAGATTTGAATATATTATTGAACGCATGATTAACTTAACCATGACGTCAGGGCCTTAGATGTCCACAGACCATGCAACCCTTAGTTAACAACACTGTTCGAAGTCAGAGCCTTTCTCACACATCGGTAAGGCACAATTCCATTCATGCATCAGTAGCCGGTGTAGTGAAGAAAAAGTATCATTGGACCCACATCATCAGGACATATAACACCACCGATGGATGCATCACAGCGGTTAATTTACTGACACAAAAACAACAACAAAGAAGGGTATGATTCTCTCCCCACCACTTGCTTTATTTACTTCACTGCCATCCTAACATGACGAAACAACGGGAAAAGATGTTGGTTAAGGGACCAGGCAACAAACGCATGAACTGCAAGAGAAGAGTTGTCCGCTTCTTCACGTTCACTACACTGTGATGGACTAACTTATCTATCAACTCGGCTCAGTTGTAGAATGATGTGTTTTTTCTTCCCCATGAGCTTCGAAGGAGCAAATGAAATCTGCACACAAATCCAACTGACGGAGTAGACCTGCAAAGTTTCTAATCCTTACACTTGCCTATTTTTTTTGAAATTGAATTTGGTTTCAGTTTTGAACCCAGTGCTTGCAAAAATAAATCTTTGGAAGTTTCTAATCAGTGTACATTTGATTTAGTATGCATATGTGTGTGTATATATCTATATATATATATATATATATAATAAAAAAATGGAGCAGCCTACGTTGTATGTAGCGTCGAAAAATCCCATTGGCTCAATCAGTAGGGGGCAATGATAGTCAAGGTATATTGTGTGTGTGTTTTTTCTATATATATAATTATGTATATATAAATAATTAGATGAATATTAATATTGATTCTAAAAGAGATATTTAGGCTATTCTTTGTTGATATTTTATTTTATAAATTAAAATCTTTTTTCAAATACTTTCGGATTTGTTTTGATAGAAACATTAATATTATGCTTTAATATTCACAACAACTCTTACTAATATGGTTGTAATTTGATAAAGAAATAAAAAGGATTTATGAAAGAGATATTATTTTATAAAAAATATTATTCTTTACAAATCACATAGCAGCAAGGTTTTTAAATAAATACATTCAATCAATAATTTCCAAGCCACTTCTATAATACTCTTAATAAATATTCAACTATCATACCTTTGCAGAACATAGCGATACTTAGTTCGTAAGAATGTATTTTTTTAAATTAAATTATTAGATTAAATTTTTTTATGTTGTAAGTTTTTCATTTATTGAAAAATTAAAAATATATATTTAAAAATATCTTATAATGTCATTAACCATAATTATGTATAAAGAAATCAAATCAAATAATTTACAAAATTAAATACAAAAAAATTTAAAAATTTAGTAAGAAAGAATTTATTTTTTGAAATTTTTCATTTGTACCAAAAGATGTGGTATATAATTTGATAAGATTATTTTGAGGTATTGATATCCTATAATATTTATTAGCATATAGAACTAGCTTAAAATATAAGCATATTGTTCAACAATAGATGTGATAATATTTATTAGATAAAAATCATACCAGGATAATATTATTAAAATAGACTATGTCAAATGGTCTTCAAAATAATAGCTCCACATTAGAAATGAATGATTGAACAAATCTAAGATCTTGTATTGCCTTGAATGAAAACCATCAAAATATTCCATTGAAAGATTTAATAATGTCAAATTATATTAATAATGCATCATTTTTAAAACTTTTATTTTTTGATTAATTTTTTCAGTTTTACAATAGTTTTTTATAAAATATAGACAACTCATGAAAATCTTAATTAATTGATATTAATCATCTAAAAATTAAAAAATAATAGTAATAATTTCTTTTTAAGATAACTTTAAAATTTCTTATAAATTTTTTTCTATAAGATATTGATTATAATCTATAAGTGATAAGTTATATATATATATATATATATATATTTGAAGATCATAATAATAAGTTTTCTAAATACTAAAATTTGTTAGTTTACAATCATAAGGACTAAAAAATAACATTGTATATTAAATAAGGCTTTAAGAGTTTTACCAATTCTATAAAATTCAATTGTCATATTTTTTGGTAATAGTATTCAATTTTAAACAATTTCTATGATCTATAAAGAATTTGTCTTTATGAGAAAGAAAAAAGAAAAAAAAAAAAAAAAAAAATTGGATTCAATATTATTAGATTGTCTAAAATCCAAAATATTGTAAATAGAATAGTCTAGCTTGGATGAACTAACATAACTATTGTTTAAAAATATTTGATATATGGAGTACATTAAATTTAATTAAATCATACAAGATCTAAAAAACTTATAGGTATTTTTTTTATTAACAAGTCACTAAATGTTTTTTGTAAAGAATATCAACTTTGTTTCTTTGGATGATATTTAATCTAATTTTTTGGCTAATATACTGTCATTCATCAAAGTTTTCTAAAATGTTTTCTATAAAGTTTTAGATTGGTTTAATTTGTGATGTTTCTAGCCTGTATCAAAAATATTAAATATAAAAATATTTAACTATTGCTATTTTTTTCTGTTGATATTATTTTTTTTGTCTAATTATGTAAGTGAAGTCAAAAAAAATTAAAGAAAGATGAAGATAAATATTTAAATTTAGAGATTGTTGCTGTACTAAAAATTAAAATAAATATCTAGAAGCTAATTAGAAAAATTATTACATCAATTTTTATTTAATATTAAAAGTTTTTTTATAAGCATAAAATAAGTTAATAAAAATTGAGACTTAAATTATAGAAATAGTCTAAAATTATGTTTTTTAGTTTTTATAAAAAAAAACATGGTTATGCTTGGTATGCTAATTGTATCAATAATGTTGGTAGAAAGATTGTCAATATTAACACTTAATTATAGAAGTTGTACATGAAAATTGTATATACAAATAAGTAGGATGTTATAGAATAAAGATAGATAAATAAAAGCAAATAAAAGGACCCATAATGAAAAAAACAATTATGGCTTTTTTTCATGTATATAATAAAGTCAATTTGGAAGTACAATACTAACAATAAGATAAGAAAAACTATTTGCTATTAGAGGCTAAAAAGTCATTTCTTCACAAAATGGCTTTACAATCATAGACAACTATTTAAAGCAATTGATGCATTTAACATAACAAACATATCAATAAACTAAAACCTTTAGACTAAATTTTTATCACACTAAATAAATATTTTTTATTATTTCTAAATACAAGATTATTTAAAATAAAATTATAAATTAAATTAAATTAAACTCTTATTTGATTCAATGTTAAATTACTTACAAGTAGAATGTAATTTATGATTTTTAGTAACTTTTAAGGCATTACAGATTTTAATACAATATGTGGTGATAATACACAATTTATCGCATGAAAAAATAACTAATTTAGAAATGATAATTATTAGTTTTACATATCTAAATTCGATTTAAGAATTAAGAATTTACTTTCTATAATTATTTTAAAAAACATCTAAGATTATATTGTTTTGAATTATTATATTTTCTAAGTAGGTTTCTTAAACTTTAAAAAAACTAAAGAAAGTACTTTTAAGCTATTCTAAGATATCTTTCGGAAGTCATCCAAGTTGGAATTATAATTATATATATTTTTTATAGAATATCTTTTTTTATTGGATTCAAACTAGATATTTAACCATAAAAGTACATATATTGATCAAGATATTATATGGTTTGAGAAATAAAATCAAATCAAAATAAGTAAAATAAATTTTTGTGATTAGTTCTTTTAAGAATAAATAAATAAGAACTATATTTAAAGAATCTAATTGCCTTTACGATTATACTCACTTTTTGTTTATAGTTGTTATATCTATTTCTATAATGTGAAGATGTGGAGTTGAATATTGTTATTTCTATTAAATAATGCTTAACTATTAAATGTTATTGAATATAAGTTAATTATTGGTTTCAAATAATATTTTATTTTATTTTTAAACATGATTGTATCAATTATGCTTTGTAGATTCAATTTGTTAATAATACTTATTATTAGATTATCAAATCTAAACAAGAGGTTTAGCCTCTTGCTTATTACTCATCCAATATTCTCTCTAAGCTTCTTGCTTATTACTCATCCAATATTACTCTCCAATGATATATTACATAGATAGATTACATCTATGCAAAGGATTTTACTTCCCTAATTTTGTCCATCAATTTTTCTAAAACTTGGAGACAAGTTGGAGAGGAGTTTGTTGAATAAATAAATATTTTAGAAAACGTACAAAAGGTGCACTTTTGCATGATAAGGACAATTTTTAATCCTCAGAAGGTCCTAGATTCAAACCTAGATGATGTGCCAACTCTGGTTTTATGTCGAGCATTGATTTATTAAACCATTCTATATTTTTTTGAGATATTGCAACTTCTCTTAACAATACCCTTCTCTTATATTATTCTCATAACTATTACATTACCAGATTAAGCAAGTACGTTAAAAAATTTGGAGGTATCCAAACTCTGTTCGTAGGTCCAGATCTACGACAGGTGCCGGAGCGTGATTTAACCAAGACAAGACTTAGGTTGAAATTATACACAGTGAGATCAAATACATGGCTTGAATAAGTTACCCTCAAAGATGTAACCTGGAGGCTTGCAAAAAAACAGGAACCGTGACAGAAGGGCAAAATAATAATAAAATATTAAAAGAAAGAAGAACAGGATTACCATTTAAAATGGAAAAAAACACTTCACGATAGTTAACACGGCTGAAATTATGTTCATGGCTCGCATGGAAACTTACGAAGTAAGCTCTCAGTAGGCGACTAATTCTCCATCTATTTACGTGAGACCTGGAGCCTTGCAAAAAAAAGTGACTCCTGAAAGCTGAAGAACAACTAGCATCTCTAACACCCATATTCAATAGTCCACATGAACCGATGTTGGTAGCATTGCTTCACCGATTTGAGAAGCCAAAAAAACATCGCTTGCGAATCTGCCCTTACTGTACAGTGAGCAGGGAGAAGAAAAAAAATATGCCCCAGTAGAAGACATCCACTAGAACCATGGAGTCAAGCCTGAGATTAGCTGCTGAAGGGCAGCAGGTTTGCATGGAGCTCAATCAATAGCCACCCCAGTTGCGCAACTGTTGAAGAGAAAGCCATCCAGCTCGTCAGTTAGCTGCCAGTCTGGTAGAGAAAACATAACGGAAACTACTCTTTGAAAAAGCCAGTTTTCAAATGCCTTATAATCGGAAGGCAGAAAAAAAAAGCACGGAGCTATTATACCCATGGGTGGGTATCTGGCCAATCCCCTTCACTTTATAGCTCCAGGGGCTCTGCAGTACTTCGTAATACGTTCAGCTGTTCTTTCTACTGCTTCGTCACGATCAGAAGCATAATCACCAGTATAACAAACAACGCCACAACCTGTGGTGCGGGATAGATGCATGAGGTCAGCACTCAGAGTAAGCAAAATATCAGAATGTATGGATTTTGTTGATTAGATTGTTTCCTTATGAATTTGTATGTAATCAAGCTTCTGCACTTCAATATGGTTAGGTTTTAGGGGAGCAGCATACCAGGAAGGTTTCGTGTCCGAATTTACTCTCTATCGTGAAAGCCCGCCTGTGTCAGGGCACCTACCACATCTTCAGTTCCAGAAACTAAACCAAGGATTGTTATGAATCCATCTGGATTTCAACAGCGTCTCCCAGCAGAGCTGTGAAGGGTGCTCATTGTTGCACAACTCTACGAGACATTGCTCAAAACAGTACTAAAAGGCACAATCTGCACTGAAATTGGAAGATCTGATCATGAAGGCTTGCCTGTTTTTGATTTCAAATCTGCAGATTGAACGGATATCATCTACAAACTTGTGAGTTGTGACAGCAGAAGGGTCTGTCTTGTCAATCTAGCACCACAAAAGGTGTTAAGGTTAGCAAACCATGCAGAAACTTAGCAGACCGGTAAACCGATGTTAAGCAGTTACGTTGTATTTCGTTATGGACACAACTCTAGCTAAATGAAAAGCAGCTATTTGACAAATACGGACAGCGTATGTAACATGATTTTTCTGCGAAATGACTTTGGCCGGTGTATGACCAGGTCCAGATTATGTATAATCAGCATTTAAATACGAAATGAGTACACCAAATATAAGGAGCTTGAAGATGAAAACCTTGGCAGCAATTAGGCGGGTGAAGTCGTAAAACGCGCCATAAACATCGACCATGTTCTTCACATCTAGGATTTTGGCTGTCAAACCTGCAACAGCACATAGCCGGGATGAGAAAAGCATAAAATTGTTTAGATAGGTCGGTTACGAATAAGATGGTAATAATGATGTAACACCAAGTTGATTTCATCCTGAACTATTGCACAGATTGCTAGTGATCCTTTGAAACAAGAGCGATCGAATTACCTCTTCTCATTCTCACAGATCCCCTGAAAACTTCCACGTTGTTATAACACATGGCCAGAGTTCCTAGCGCAGTAATCTGCAAGTCACAACATTGTTGGAAAGTGGGAAGCACGATATTATTTTCCAGCGAAATCAACTCTGGGTAGAACCACAGCCACAACCACAGCACAAACCATCCTAAAAATAAAGCAAAATTGGATACACCAAGACATTTTTTGACAGAATAGTGATAACTCATGCAAAGGATGAACCTGAAAAGTGGCACAGAATCGAAGATTTGGTTGGTCCTGCAAAGCTGCCATGTAATGTAGACAATCTAAGCCATGTGAGAGAGCATCAGTCACCATCTCGTTCAGACAGTGTAAACCTTGCTTGTAGTTCGTTTCATCCATGAAGGCCTGTAGAACCGAATCTGCTGATGAGTCCAAGCGAAAGAAGACATCGTCGAAGAGCACATCAAACCAGTATGAAAAGCCACAGAAACGCACGAAGAAGTAAGTGCTGCAGGTAAATCATAAACTGTTAAGCCAAGCAATACCTCAGGCTTGTCAGCATACTTCGACCACACTTCTTTTGGCCAGCGTAAGCGCGATGTGGGTTGGGCGTTGATGTTTTCCAGGTAATCTCTAATCACATTTGTTTTCTGAGAGAAGACAAGTGCGGTTTAACGAGCCAGACACAAGTGAAGAAAAGCTTGGAAATGTACAAGCACTGAATAGAGCCCTCTACTCCGCGAGAAAGATTTGAATCCACAAAGAATTAAATAAGTGAATAAATAAAACAACTAGAGCAAAACCGTACCTGCAAAAACAAGCCCATTGCATTTGAAAGATAATCAGGAGTAAACTGCTCCATTCCAGCAGTGTAAAAAATGCGGGTGAGACCCAAACCCATGAGCCCGGCACTGAAGTGACAGTATTCGTTGTAATCCTCACGAGAAATAATCTGAGCAAATAAAATGCCAAACGTGAGCACCTTAATAAAGCAATTCACGGGATTTCTCTTCATGTGAGCAACACAATCCACCTAAGCTTGACGCTGCTAGTGTCATCCACTGCTAGTGTTATCTCAACATTAATGAAAAAAAAATCTTTTAATCTCCGCAAGGAACCCGTGTCAATCGGAAGTGCACCTCGGTGTTCAAATACTTCACCATGCCCTCGCCCATTCGCTCAGTAATCTCAGTGATCACTTCCTGATATCTGCAGGGACAAGAAATTCCTCACCAAACCAGTGAAAAAAGAGCAAAAAACAAATAAATAAATAAAAATCTCCGCAAATACGACTGAAAAAGAAGCACGCACCCGGTTGTCAGCCCCAAGAAGGCGAGAATCACCAAGTAAAACTTATCCATCAAAAGCTTGTAGTCGTTATTTCCACCTACTCTCAAAGGTGACCACATAATAAGAAGATTAGATTGACAGCTAACGTTCCACAATACACCTAATCACATGCTTTTAGCTTGTGCAATAGGCGAAACTACTGTTACCCATGAAGAAGATATCATGGTAAAAACTGATCGTGTGAACATGTTACTCGAGCAATCAAGAATTACAAATATATGACCAAACCAGTGGCAGTTCGTTAAGATCGTAGTACATCAAATGCCCACAAGATTAATCACAAACAAACAATTGTATTAGCTACAATGCTCTATGAAGAAGTCCCGCACTCACAAGGAAAATGAAAATCGCGATCAAAGATCTTCTTATGAAGGTTTCTCAGAAGTTCAACTTTCAAATCATAAGGTATTGTCAAATCGTCTTCTGCACAACAATCCCCAGTTTCCAACAATCAGAATAGTTGTTGAAACTTTGTCGACTTAAACCCAAAAAAACAGCATTTTAGAGACTGGTTTGATCACCACTATGTCATATATAGAGGGTGATTGTACATTTCACAGTTCATTTTCTGCGCTCCTGCAAAGCTATACAATAATACTTGAAGGCAGGCTGCCTTCTGCAGGCAATGAATTGTAAGGCCGTCTTAAAATTTTAAATCCTCGAGTCAAAATCATGGTGTGCTCCCTGAATCATAGGTGCATCCAATAAAGGCGCCAGCAGAGTATACTTCAGGTTTGTCATTATGTTTAATCAATTTGTGTATCTACGAATTTAACTAACAAAGTCTAAAGAAACATAAAACCCACCAACAGCTTGGAGGCCTCGCAAAACCAAATAAAACACGCATACCTGCACAAAAACAGTTATTTTTATAAAGGCGATATAAAATGGTTTACCGCTTTCTAAAAGAGGAATAGAGCGCACTGGAAGAGACCATGCAATTTAGCGAGAGCTACGATTCGTCAAGCAACCATGAAGATATTTCTTTCAAGCATAAACCCTGAAATACATCGCGATGAGAGGTTGATGCTAAACAATCTGAATCACTCCAAACGTTTAGTTCAATTGGTTTCCAATGGAATCATCTTACCATCTGAAACAACACGAGTGAAGGCAGGTGGGGTGTAGGCACTTACAGCGTTGCGAAGCCCAGGCTCCAGCTGCAATATAACAATGGAAAAGCTTCCAGAGACCCGTCTTAGCATTTGATAGCAAAAAGCCAAATTGGGGTCCGAAGGAATAGCCCTATTTGCTGCCGCTGAAGCCATCTTCAGCTTTAACAGATGGTGCAAGTCCTCGGGATTCTTCAAAATTGCCCCAATGATCCCCATCTTGAAAGATTGTTTCGAATCTCTTTCGAATCGTGCTGGCCCCTACAAAAAGCTTTATTGTTTAATCAAGCTCCCTGAAGGTCTACATCTTCCTAACACTCAGCCCAAAATATTCCACAAACTCATGGCAAACAATGATATAACCTAAACACATCCAGCTTCCATAATGTCTCCTTCAGATTCGTATGCAGTTAAACTCCGGCCCTCTTCCATGATTCTATGGTTCGCCATCGCCTCAATATCCTCGCATATGTTATATATTAAACTCTTCCCAAAATCTGCAAAGACCACCCAGGCTGAGAATGTTAGAAAATTAACGAATGAAGTCGGTAGGATCTTGCTTTCAATTTTAACCCCACAACGTTGTCTACATTGAAAATAAGCATTTTGTATACTGGAAGAGGAACAATCCTGATCGATTTCATAACCCGCTGGCGAAATAGGATAGACCACACAGACTACTGCCAGGGATGCCCACAAGCCAAATCCACTTCCATTCCTTTTCTAAGATCATCGCATCTCCTTGACCGCCGCACTAAAATTAGCGAAGTATCAAAATGAATAAAACAGAATCTTCGTTAAGCTTAAAAGAAGTGCTGCTCCTGAATAAGAAAGAGCACACACTTTGCGAAGACTTCTACCAGGCTAGCTCAGCTTTATCGATTCTCACGTAGCACTTGCTTCCATACCGAGAGATTTCAACGGAATCTTGGCGCTGCTGTTGATGCGGTAGCAATAGCTACAGAGAAGAGAGCGGAAAGAGAGCAAGAAGAGATCGTGCCTGCTTCACCATGTATGCGATGCATCACGGAATAAACAACTCAAACTGATACGAGAGAGTCCGATCTTCTAAAGTGAATCTTCCTGAAAGACTAGACAAAGCGCCCCTTCTGTTTGTTTCGTCATACACAAGGTAAACACCTTGTGAATACCCACACGAAGGTTTCTCTCAATGAAGAATTTCGCCGAATAATCCAGAAAAGACGTGCTACTGACAGATGTAAGACAGTTGGCATGAGAAGAGACCACGTAAGGGAATAATTGACGGAGATGAAGATTCTGGAATTCGTTCCGAGATGGCTCCACCGTCACAACCACAACAACCTGGTGGTAGGGATCCACTCAGAAACATTGGAAGCAAGAAGCAACATCAACGCATAGACAAATACAAGTCAGACCAGTTAAAACTCGAACAAACTGCTCGTCAATACTACAGCACCAAGACTGAAGATCAAATCACAAATGTTCACTGGTTATTAGACTCTGGACACGCAACACTCGCGAACAAACACACACACACACACACACATATATATAGATATATATATATATATATATATATATATATGCACATACATACATACACACACATACGTGCTAAAGCTACTCCTTTCAGAGATAAAACCGGAATTCACAACAAAGGCTCTCTAACTTCCAGCTTCCATGCTTCAAGAAAACAACCTCACATGTCCCTATCACTAGAAGGAAATAACTTTAATCACGGCGCTTTTCAACAATCGTCCAGCCACTTCAGTCCCCCCGAACCCTCCCAGGAGATGCAATAAGTGACCGAAGGGAGTCTAAACAGAGACGACGAATAAGCGAGGGTGCAAAAACGATACCGACAGGGTGAGAGTTTCACCGCGGAGGAGGAGGAGGGCAGCGAGAAGTACCAGAGTGAAGACGAGGGTAACGAACCCTAGAGAAACTGGCTGACAGGGAGCAAGGCTGGCAGATGAAAGAGATAGTTCGTTGCTGGAGATGAGCACGTACATACGAGGTTGAGCGTGACGTTACCAGACATAGCACGCAGTCCCCTCCCCCCGCCCCACCAATCGCAGAAAGCGGCTTTGGCGAGGCACGCGCTCGCAACCCCGATTCAATCTCCTCGCACACAATTCCCGTTAATTATTAACTAGGCAACATTTGCACTCTTTGGCATTTTGACTCACGATCACCGTCTTGCTGCCCAGCTCACCAGATGAATGGATCCCAGAAGAGGTGAAGGAATCTGCGAGACCGACGCCGGTGTTCCAGTTCATCGCTGCTTCGGTGGCACATCTTCAGCGATTCCATCGACTCCTGGGAGACTCCAGCCACTGGACTCGGACCCATGTGCGCTCAATCGGTGGTGGGTAGGAGCTCGCGCGGCTGTAGGTTTACTAATCCCTATCATTCCATCCCTAGTCGAATCTTCTGCTCGTCGAGGAGACCTACGCGCACTCCCGGAACCAATCATATCGGCAAAGCCTAATCACTCGGCTGACAACCCAGTTCAGGATGCTCTGCAGGAGGATGAAGCTCCGGAACATGGAACAAAGCTCCAATTCGGCACGGTATATATTAAGATTGAGACGGCAAGAAAAAAACGCTAATCTTGGGGGGGGGGGTGGGTATTCAGATGGCGACGACTATGAATGGCGAGAAATTGTCGCGAACCCTGGACGATGGACGGACAGATAGCCTGGAACGTTACTGTGAGCGAGCCTAGGCTGTGAGTCTACGCTTCAGGAGCGAGAGAGAGTTGGGCGATGGGCGCAGATAGCGGTGGGCCCTCCTCCTCCTTCTCCTTCTATAGTGGAAAATGAAAGCTGGGTCCTCCTCCCTCAGTCACTGCCTGCCTGAATGACGGACTGACTGACTGACTGCAATCTTGCTTGCTTGCCTGCCTGCATGTCCGCATCCCCCGCATACGCCCCCCTCGTCACCTCGCCCTCGTCGCGAACTGCGCCGTGCATGGAGAAAAAGGTGGTAGAAGAGAAGGTGGAGCACGGGGGATCATCATCTAACATCATCTAGCATCATCACCAACTTCTCTTCATCCCGCATTCGTCCCCTTCCCCTTCTTTTTCTTCTTCCTGCTCCTACTCCTGCTCTTCCGTCCCGCATCGCCGCACCCCCGCATCCTCGCATCCCTGCACACCGCTCATTCGGCTTCGTTGCTTCTCCACTTTCGGGCCTCCTCCTGTGCATCAGTCTTTCCTCTGTTTGTCTGTGTGTCAGTGTGTGTGTGCTTGTGTTGCGATGGATGGTGTGTGTCAGTGTGTGTGTGTGTGAGTGTGGAAGAAGAGATTGTGAGATGGATGTTTGGTTTGTATGGTCTCCTGAAACAGTGAACTGAGATGAAGAATAACAATAATAATAATAAAGAGGGAGAATATTAACGGCGTGCACCACTAAAGGTGTGTGAGGTTAGTTGGTGTGAAAGAAATTTGGGATGTATTTGTTTTGGGAGTATTCACTGCCTCGGATCCTTTCTGCCTTTTTTTCCTTTTTTTGATTTTGTTGCTTGCCGTGAGATTTGATTATTCACTGAATGAATGTCTGAAAACAACATCTTGAACCAAATAAATTTAATAAATTCTTATTGCATCAAAAGAATTTATTCTATATATATATATATATATATATATATAGAAGTCTTATGACAATACGATGTACTTTTGTTTAGATGTATTCATTTGAACATTATGTATTTATTCCATAAGTGCAATCTTTTTATTTGTTATTATTGTTTAATATCTTTTATTTTATCCTTTATCATCTTGGGCATAAAAAATTATCCTTAATACTTCCACTATTAAATTTTATTTTCAAAACATTTGAAATAATATCTTCATGTATTAGCTATCATCTTTTAAAACATAATTTTATCACCAGAGCATATACTAAAATAAACTGATGATAAATTAATGCATTTTCATAAAATTTTGTTAATGTATACAATTATTATTATGATTATTATTTGTGTTATTATGCTTTTCATAAACACTTCATGTAAAATTCTCTTGAGAAGTATCATGGGTAATACATTCAATAGTTTTTTGGCCATTATCTATTCAATAAAGCTAATATTAGTATATATATATATATATATATATATATATATATATACATGTAAACAAATCCTATTCTTTTATGAAAAAAGTTTTGGTGTGGTCCATTTTGATTTTGACAAACCATGTGATTAGTTCTCGTAGACTCAAAAAGAATTTAAGTTTTATGTTATTATAAAATCATTTAAAAATATCTTACCAATCAATTGTAATTAGTAATATATTTAAATATATCACACAATAGTAACATATTGTTTTTAAAAACATAAATTGTATGCCTGTCAAGATTTAAAGGAGTTGCTAATCAGTTGTGATTTCTTCAGTAGGTTGATTAGGAGTATGTTATGTTTTTACTAAAAAGATATATTATAGTTCAAATCATATTGTAATAATAATTTTTTATAAAAAATACCTATTTATAATGTTTACATCTTTAATTTAAAAACAAAAATTTAATTAATTCTACATCAAAAAAATAAAACAACAATTATTTTAAATATTATTATAATATAACACACATAAAACAAAAACAAATGATCTTATTCTTAAATCAAACTCACACATTTTGAAACCTATTAACAGAGTCAATTGATTTTGAAATAGTAAAAATAATAAAAATATCTATATTGCATGTATGTTTGTATCGTGTTTCTAGTGTTTTATATATATATATATAGATATATATATATACATTGATTTTGTTGTAATACAAGAAATAAAACTACTCTTTATACTTCGTGGTATAAGATCTACAATATAAAATTTCACCAATCAAACATATTTTATTGCACACCTTAAATTTTGTAATTTTTATTTTTATTTTTATTTTTTTATGTGTGTTTTATAGAAAGAAATAAGAATCGTATTTAGGCAAATAAATTATTACTTTTTTTTCTTCTTTAATTTCATTAAACTTTGGAAAAGAATATGTAGTATACTTCAAAAGTTATAATGATTTATTTTTAAATAATCTCTTCAAAGAAGCACAATTAATACATGCATTATTTTAATTAATTTAGATAGATCAATTTAAATAATCAACACTCAATACAAAACAAGATGGTGTTGTATCTATAATCTATTCTATTATAAATGAATTGAAGTACTACTAGATTAAAAACACTTCACAATATCTATATATATATATATATATATATATATTAAAGAAAAAAATTATCTATTTTATGTGTTTTATTAATAGTTGTAGGGATGAATTTAGTGAAGTGTGTTGTCTATTACAATAATGGATAGTTTAAAAAAGCACTTTAGCACTACCACAAATTTCTCTGTATTTTAGAATTTCTATTGTCAACATAGTAGCTGTATGTAATTTCTATTTTCTTGTAAAGTTTTATTTGAGCAAAATTGAAGTTGATGGATTTATATGGTGTTTGCACTAGAAACTCTAAATCTTAGATTTACTTATGATTTAGGAAATATTTATAGGAAAATATTAAACTGATGCACCCATTTACGAAATTGACCCACTCTATCATATCCATCATTATAAAAATGGACCTCCTCTAGAAACCATCAATATAATCATGGCCTTTACCCCCATCATTCTTGTTTCTAGCCTTTGCTCTTCCATTCCTTGCCTTCTTCATTTCAACCTCATTATTTCCCTCCCTTCATTTCTAACTTTCATCCCAACTCTCCTCACTCTCCTTCATTACCCATGATATGGTGGGTTGATATAGTAAATGGGTGGGTCATTTTAACATTTTTTTATATATATATTTATATATACATATGTATTCATTCGTTTTTTTTTTCTAAAATCAAATATGATTCACTTTCTACCTTGAATTTGAATAATAATGTAATTTAAAGCACCAACCTTTTGTAACAAAACATTCATACCAAGAATTTATACTAAAATATTTTTAATTCTCTTTAATTGAAACATCTACTAAAATCTTTAGTTAGATATTTCAAATTTAAAAATCAAAAGCTTTATTCATGTCCAATCTTATAAAGTTGCATAGGTAATATACTTGAAAATGAGCTAATTAGTGTATATATATATACATATATATATATATATATAGTTTCTAAACCATAGTCAAGTTCAAAACATTGTCCTTTAAATATTTTGATTCCATAACCAATTCAGATTTGGTTCAAATTGTCTCAGTACTCTTTTATTTTTTTATTTTTATTTTAAAGATATGCATGTGTCACTATCTATGAAATACTTTAAGTTTAATTGCAAGTCTTTTTTTTGGCTGTAACACAAGACTTTTGAGAACTTAGACCAAAGTCTCATGATGTTATTGTTGTGGTCCTTTTCAACAACCTTGTTTGTCTCAATAACTAATGATGTTAGGACCATGTTGGTAGGACAATTGGAACTTGAGCATAGTTATTGGGCATTTCTACCACAACTTAGGAGGTATAAGACTTTTGGTTTCCCCATTGGGCAATAAAAAAAAAACTTGCTACAAGACTCTTATATTAGAACACCACGAGAACCAAGTGTAAAAATTGTTATTTTCTACATTATCTTCAAAAGTATAGAACATCTTATTTTCTCATTTCTCCTAGCCCCTCCTTGCCTCATTTATCTCTGCCAAATACTACAAAGTAAAAGTCCGAAATATAAATAAATAAATGAATAAAACTTAAAAATAATATACACAAAAAATTACTAAAAACATATTTCATTTGAATGAATATTTATTTATTTTTAATTTGAGTTATACAGTATCAATGTTGGAATAATCTTTTGAACTTTTCAACTTATAAAAAATATCTTATTTTCATTTAAAATCATTAGATTATATTATTATTTTTATAATATTTTTGAGATTCATATATTGAAAAATAGTCACAAGCATGTTCATGAACTTTTAGAAATATCAGATTGATTAATAAATTATTATCTATAGCTGTATTACATTTATTTACTGTTTGTAATTTTTTATGTGGTACAATTGTAAGATGATTGATATTTATAAAAATATCATAAGAAAAAGAAAAGAAAGGAAAAAAATAAATTTACAAATTATTTTTTAAAATTCATTCAAATAATTTGAGTATATATTAAAAAAATAAAATCACATGTTTATCAAATTGAAGAAAAATACTTGTAATAATATATTTCTTTCAAATTTCTATTTTATTTTTGTCACTCAATTGATTTCTTTCTCTCAATACTTGAATTCTTTTTGCATCAACTAGAAAAAATAAGACGAAAAATGAAAAAAACATCACAAACCACAATTCTATTAAGAGAGTAAAACCAATTTCCTAAATTAATCAAATTTAATGCTTTTGATTGAAACAGCAACGAATTATTACTAATTTGAGTTCTATGGTAACAAATCAATCACCAAAATCCCCTAATTTGCAACCAAACTATAGGAAACATTCCCGTCCGTACTTAAAGGCTCCGTTCACCTGAAGTAAAAGCACTAAAACCACGTCATGAACCAATATTTCCCCGATCTTCAGATGTAAAGGAAAGAATCTCGATACGGTGGTGTTCCGGGTAGGGGAGGTTCCGGGTACGACGTAACCAAGTATCATGGTGTACCGGGTAAGTCACGGACCTCATCTGGTATATACCCGGTTACGTATCCAGATATACACATCTGGTTGAATTCCTATATACCAGGGTATAAACCAGTGTATTTTGGGTGACCGTTTGAGTTTGCGTCGCCTACCCTCCGCGAATGCACGGAGCTCGCTTTCAGTGCGAGCCTTGGGCCCCTGATGATTCTAGTGTGCGGCTGACTGAGAGATGAGTTCCAACATTCCGTGTTCAGTTGTGGGAATCCTTACGTCTGATTTCGCGTTATGGGCTTGTTTTCGACCTCACTTTACATGACCGTTTTGGCGTGCTGCGTGACGTTCAAGTCAGACTTCGCTGACACTGGAGGAGTGCTGGATCTTGTATCGTAGCATTCGATCGTGAGTTGCTCTGCGCATTCTCACTTTCGGATTTGTTTTCTGTCATCAGTTTTTTGTTTCATGCTTCTGTCTGTTGTTGAAAAGTCGCCAGACCTGTTAGTCCTCACGCTTGAACTCTTTCATGCTCCCCTTTGAAACCTCCTTCTACTTAGTTTTTCAACGACTCTCACGCATTTCATTGCTAGAGTTTATATAATTCTCGTCGTCTGTTGTGTACATCTCTTGATCGTTAAACCTTCGGGTGACTTCTTGTGACCGTGCTGTTTGCAGAGAAGTTTATTATAGTTCAAATTCTCGAAGCTTTAAAAGATCGTGTTTCGCCTGTTTTTCCGCAAATTTATCTTGAATCGCAGCAACAGCTGTTGCATATCTCAATTCGACGAGCTCGAAGAGAAGTTCCATAATGCAGGCCATCTGCGGAAGCCCCTCGATTGTGCGACCAGATCCAGCGACTACACTCGGGGTAGGCCACAGATAAGATTATCTTGGTTCTCTTTCTGCTAGAGTGAATCTGAGAAAGGTGTCAAACAGTGTGACGGGAGAGTCCCCAATAAGCAATCAGCAGATCTTGTTGGAATCCTTAATGAATCTAAACGCTTCGATTTGGGAAAAAAGTGGAGCATAACTCTTACTTGGATTCCTTAAATTTGGTGTTGGATGCTGCGCTGCAGCTGGATGAAACCGATGCTCATTTCAAGCTGCCAACCTCAGACAGATTGTTGAGCAGGATTCGTTCATCAGCTATAAAGCCTGACATTGGCACAGTACGTCTCATTCGCACACTTACTCAGAGTCCGTCTTTATTTACTTACTGTCGTACTGCATATCCGAATTGAACTTGAATTGACGCCAAGCGCACACTATCTGCAGCCTATGCGCGTCCCCGTAGATTCAAACGGACAGAGGCTCTATCCAACTCCGAGAAGCGCGCGGGCCTTGAACTTCGGAAGCTCTGAATTGAAGTGGCATACCAACCCCGCGTTTCAACCCCTGGAAACTGTTGAGAGTCTTCCTTGCGAACAGAGCCAGGTTGGTTTGTGGATCCTGTTCAGTTTTTAAACATTCTCAATCGTTCAAGAACGTGGTAACACCTCGAACTTCGTACGCTTTGTTCGCGATGTGCAGGTTGACTTTCCACTAATTCAACCCAGATGGTTTTCAATTTTAAGCTATATGTTCTGGATATTCTGAAGAACATCGTTTTGGAAATAACATTAATCCAGGATGATGTCTCGTGCAGCCGCTGAATGTCCTAGTTGAATCCGATGGGCTTGAGGTATGTCCTACCCCAAAGATCACGTCGCACAACAAACCAAGGATGAAATTCAACTCTGGTGCTGCGAGCTCTCCAGGGGGTCAGAACTTGCGACTCCAGAAACCTCTTCATTTCGAACCCTTGGAAACTATCCCAAGTCCTGCAGTTCTGAAAGAGCAGGTACGTTCTTCTTTTGAGTGTGAGCTTTATGCATACCTTAAACTGTCCCCCTCATGAATACTTAGGTCTTTCTCTCTGCCTCTTTCTGACTCACTCAGACTGCACCACACTCTTATCAGTTACAGATATCCAAGCGAGTACTGGGAGATTCCAATGGTCAATGGTTACAAGAATTTCCCATTTTTACCGAGAATGCCACTTCTTTCAAAGCGAAAACAACGGCCTCAGGCACCAGTTGCTTCGAAAGCATGACACCGAGAAACTTGTTCAACGAAACCCCTCGTTCTAAAAGTCGGATCAACTCTGCCAAAGCGGACAAAAAGTCATCATCTTTGAGAACTCAGGAGTCCCCGATGTCTCCAGATAGTGTAATGCAAAGGCACGAAGGAGAGGCAGCCTTCACTTCAGAAGCTCTGGTGAACGCCCCTGATTCCAATATGAGGAAGAGAGCTAGAGATAGAGACGGCGCTGCAGAATGCGATGAGAACACGAGGATCACGAGGTCTAAAGCTGAAGCAGAAAGGATCGCTGCCTTTCTTAAGTCCCCTGCTGTCAGGGTCCGTTTGTCGGATGGATCTAGGCAAGAGTATCAAGGCACACCGAGGAAATCGACTTTGAAGCTGTTCGACATAACTGAGAAGAATATGAGCAGTGCACCAGGTGGAGGGTGTGGTGAAGCTGTAGCCATGGAGGCGGAATCGTCTCAGACCTTTACAGAGCGTGAAAAGCTGCCAGTGGTTGCCGAGCTTCTACCGACGGTAGAAGAGCCACCTTTTCAATTTCCACTGTTCAGTTTTGGAGTTCCGCCCAGGACCCCCTCGGTGAAATCAACCAACAAGCAAATTGTGAGGGAGATTCACACACCGGCTGCTACTTCTGGAGTTTCTCGAAGGCCATCTACCAAACAAGGTTCTGCCAAAAAGAACCTTTCCTTGTTGCTCTAGCCGGAACCGTCCTAATCAATAGGAGTAATTGAGCGGGTACAGCTTCAGGCTGCACTCTGCTTTACATATACATACATACTTGGGCCCATCTCTCTTGTTCATGGTCATGAACATATCTGATGCCACTAGATACATCACCTCCATTTATCTTCTGAGATTGATCGCCACTTCCTCAGTGCCCGGTACAGAATTCTTTAGTGAATGTTTTCAAATGCCCCATGTCTCCAGTTCAGTTTTCTACAGCATTCAGTGTACTGACCTTGTGAAGTACTTAGAATACGACCAGAGCACCAGGCGTTAGTCTTTGAAGCTCGACAATTCTATGCTAATGGTTGACTGTGGCTCGATGAGTACGTACTGCTCTGAACGACACCCAACGTTGACGATTCATGCATGGTCAAGGTTTACAAATAAAAGTATGATTGTGGGTTATTATACACAATTGTTGGAGTCTAGCCAAAGTTCTCAAATCAATTTATTGAGGGATATCAATCATTAGAGGGAGATGATTGGTTATATATGCATATAGAATGCAAAAAGGTACAACAACAACAACAAAAAGTAGCAATCTTCAAAATATAAAATAAAACATGCAATAAAAAGAAAAATAAAGCATTACATTGTAACTTGTAAAACCAATTATGTTTAAATTCTTATCAATGTACAAAGATGAGCAATATGCAAGAGGAAGGATGACTTGAGTATGAGTAATGTAGTACTTGTTAAGTGGACAAAGGAGAAATTTGAACTAAATAACATGCAATCCTAGAGCACTATTAGTAGCTTTTTCAACAATCAAATTATACAAGAAAAACTTAACAAAGTGAACATTTTTGTAAAGCGTTACTGTTTACCTATACATTCTCAATTAGACAAAGCACAAACAAACTCAATCCTCAAATGCCAACATTGTGGTGTTGCACTTTTTGAGAACTTCATATAAAAGAAAAGAATGAAGTTTGCCATACTTTTAAATATTTTAAACCTACTGATGTTTTTAAATGGTTGTGAGCAAAAGTTTAAGTGCTGCCATTGTTTCAAAGAATTCAAGTTGTAGGATGAAATTGCCTCTTCAAATAATACCACTATCAGAAGATATTGCACAATATTGTATCCCCCCTAACTAGACAATACTTATTCAATAAATATTTAGTTTGAAGAAAGATAAAACCATAATCACTATTATATTGATTGCCAATGCAAATACTTTGTGTCAACTTGTTCTATTCTATATTGGCAATACTTGGAAGCTCCATGCATTCAAGAAGAAAATTGGAGAGAAACTTGGCTCCTACTATTGAGCAAACAATAAGGCATAGATAATTATTCTACTATTTCAAGAATGACTAAAGATGTTGAATCAAAAAATATAGAAAAAGAAGTAGAAGATTCTCATGCTAATGAACAATGTATTGTCTCATATCAATAACGATATAGAGATCTTTAATGTCAAAGTAACATTTCTACTATCAAATATTATGTCAAAGATCTAGCCAATGGATATAAGAATAAGATTTTAAAAGATATCATCAATGCTTTTAGCTACAATATGCAATAGATCATGAAAAACAAGGGAAAAAAGACATCTATAAGATCAAACAACTTATTGCCATGTGTTGGTGTAACATGGCATGGATAAAGATTCCTTTCAATGTCATCAACAATTATTTCAAGTATACTAGTATTATATAATGTGTCTTGCTTGAGAATGCACTAGGCACTTAGTTGTAGAAGGTAAATTACAAATTGCAATAATAAAAGTTTTAACAATTCTAATAGAATATTAAGTAAATCTTAATTATATCTTAAGAATCTTAATCAAACCTTAATCAATTCTTAAGAAATATTAAAAATATTCTATAAAAAAAAATCACAAAGAAATCATAAATAAACTTTAATTAATTAATAAAAAATATCTAAAAATATACTAAAAATAAAATTATCAAAGAAATAATAAAAATTATTAAGATATAAAAATAAAAACCTTATAAAAATACTAAAAGTAAAAATCCTAAAGAAATTATAAAGGAATTATGAAGAATTTTTTTTAAAAAAATAATCTAAATAAATCCAAATGTAGCACTTAACAAACCCTAAACAAATTCTAAGTAAATCCTAACCATATCCCTATAGCAATTTTAAAACTCTATTAACTATTAGTTCAATCATTGATTTTGATTAAATTTTATTTACCTAACTATAAAGAAGTACCTATTATATTATGAATAAAATAGATATTGAAAGCTACTATGTTTTGAATATTAATTGACTTACACTATTCAAGTTTAGAATAAAATAAATCTAACCTTCAAAAATTATAAATTAGTCATATCTAAATAAAAGTTGGATAATCAAATATATATTCACACTTAAAACATGATCTAAATTTTAGTAAAGTGCAATCAATTTAAAGACAATATAAGTAAAAAATCAAAAAATCAAAATTTCTTAAAAATTAGTATTTAATACTCAAAAAACTCTTTCGATTAGCATACCAACTTCAAATCATATGACCAATAATAACAATATATAAATTAACTTGCAAGTTTTACTAGGTATATGTACAAAAATCTAAAGAAATTCAAAATATAAGTTTGCAATTATTGATCAAGTTGTATAAAACTTAAGGGATATTATAAGTACAAGTTAAAGTTTTGTAGTATTTAGAACAAATATTAAACCACATATTTAATTAATAGGGCAAAAAAATCCAATCATATTCTTTAAATATTTCTATTAATAATGGTAGAATATTTTGGATAAGTTTTTTTTTTTTTTTTTTTCAAATATACAAAAATGTATGGATAGAAAAATTAGATATGTTTTTTTTTATAAAAATTAATAAAAATATTCAAAACATTTATTTTGATAATCAAGATCTTTTTATTTTTTTATAAAATTAGTATATCATATATATAAACTAATTATACAATTTTTAAAGAATTTGTCTTGTGAAGCTATTGCGTTCTAAAATATGAAGTATGTATATGACTAAGCATTCAAACAACTACAATATCACAATTTTTCTTCTTTGGACAAATTTAGATCGAAATAATGTATTCTATATATTATACATAGATAAAACTTTACAATCTTATGCAATAAAATGCAAAACAAAGAATAATATCACTTAAGAGATAGACTTTCTATTTCAAATTTAAACTTCTTTAAAAATATAATCCTAAGTCTCTACTTCTATTTAAACCAAAAAATATAACAAAATAAGACTAAAAAGGAAAAAATACTTATTTGGCTCATGTAAAATAAATAAATTGATAAAAATCAAGAAAAGAAGAAAATTATAAATAATATAAGTGGCAAATATGAGTTATAATCATCCAAAAGCAACAAAATAATACAACACAGAAATAGAAAATTTAGATTAATACAAGAGTGACAACAATATAAGGATTAGATTTATAAAATACAACAAAGCAAGTTGGCTTAAGGTTGGAGAATTGATCAAGAAATTCCCACAAAAGGAACAAAAATATTTAAACAAATTAACTAAAACAAAAACCAGGCATGATATTTCTTGCTGCTTAAGAAGCAAGATTGACTAACAAATAGAAGTACAATCCCATTCTGATCAATTGCAAAATACTACTTTGTTTACTTTATATCTATATTAAGATCATAAATAATTATTAGAATTTAAAATAATCACTTTTATAATTAAATTATTTGATTATTGTCTAAATATTATAAAAAGTATAATGGTTTGTTTAAAACTACAATAATAATAAAATAATGTTCATCAAGAATCAAATATATAAAACTGTACGTAGGATTTTCAGGACAACTTAAGAAGAGCATGTAATACGTTTTGACAGATATAGATAGCTTCAAGAGAGCTGCCAGAATGATTTTCGAGAAGTCCACGATTAAACCCACAACACCATGCCTACAAAATGTAAGGATGCCGATTCTACAGATGCATTTTGTGACGAACCGATCTACAAAGTCTAATATTTCAAGTGCTTTGAGGAGACAAACAAAAGTGTATCATTAATATATCACAATGAAGGAAATGAACAAAGGTTCAATGATCACCACCAATTTCATGATTAAGAGAGTAAACAGAATAGTCAAAATGATAACCAGCCAGTTGATCAGATACAAGAATAAAGCGTGCGTCAGTTGGTCAAAGTACTCACTGAACAAAGTGTATTTCGCCAGTCTAGCAGAAGCTGAATGGTCCAGGAGAAGCTGTACAAGATTACACTAAAGGCCTAATTTGAAAGGGCGGAGTGACGCCAGCTCAAAATTTACCACATACAACCCAAGGCTCTAATTAAACCAAAACAAAAACCTGTAATCGAAGATCTAGTTTAGACAGCTGTAACAGTCGACGGTTCAAAGAGGAAATAAAGATGTGGAAAGCAAATGAATTGGCTGTTAGGGACATCTAACAGCAGCTTAAAAGTTATTTCCCGTGTTAACCATATAAAAACTTCATGATATTTCCGTAAACCTTGACTCGTTACTTGATACCTAATGCACAGAGCACAGAAAAAGATAATTCCAACAAGAATTAGTTGTGGATTCTGTCACGAAACTAAAAGAAGCTGAGATCAGAAACCAGAATCATGAAAGCTAATTGTGGCTCGTCTACGTGATCTCTAGTAGCTCAATTATGAATTTCTAGGTCTTAAGTCCACATAATCAACAATCTGAACGAAACAATATTGAACTAGCCATGCAGTAATTATGATCGCAATAGACACGAAACATTGAAATGCAAGACAATTGTAGATGTTTTCTAGCTGTGGCCACATAAAGGATTGAGTAATAACAGTCACAGGCAACCACAACAACGATCTGAAGAAGGAAAACACAGAGCATTCTAACCAAAAACGAAACTCACCGTTGACCCTATTGCAACAGTTTGTGTCCGTTGAAGCATAACCATCGTCTCGTCATGCCTTCCACCAAATGCTGATCGAGCAATCCAATGCTCGAACTCTTCATAACTCTCAAACCGAGGTGGTTGACACACCCCTCCCTGTCATAAACAACGAAATGCCAATATTTAGCAATGAATTTCAGAAAAACGGCAAACATCATCAAAAAAAACTGAAACACGACCAAACACTTATTGTGTAGACTGCAATAAGATCACATTCTATAATTGAATATGAGATTCCATGTAGACTTCTCAAAAAGCCGTTCACATGTAGACTGAACTTGTAGGGATTAGGTCGATCACACACCACAAACCATAGGCATACATATCCCTGTGAAGAAAATACATAGAATTGTTACACGTAACTGATACCCCACGCTTGCAGATGCGAATATTGGCTATGCACTGGGCTAATTTTAGCAGGTGCATAAGAGAACAAATGATTTCAGCAAACATTGACCCATTCCTAGAGCTGTGAACCCTGTTCGCCATCAATCATCTAGAAATACAGAGGCAATCATTCAACGTCCCAAAATTTCTAAAGTAACAGATCGTTTGCGACTAATGCTAGGCTAAAAAGTTACAATACATTACCTCTACACGAACTGCACGGATCAGTCACTGCAAATTTGAGGCTCAAAGTTACTATGTTACAAATTACGTGGACAAAGCGGACGTGCCAAATTATGTGCCGCAAGACAGAATTCGGATTAAATGAAGAATCATATTTTAGTCTTCAGGTAAAGAGCTACAAGATTTTAAGTTTCCGATTACTAAGCAGCACGCAACTGTCTACTGGAATGACAGAAGTTTCAAACAGAGCACATATTTTTTCCCATATTAAAGGATCAAGCCATGGGTTTTTAAAATATTCTACACGAGGAACAAGAACAGTAGGCTTAGTTCTAAGTGGGGATCTCACTCCAGAATGCTGCGATGCGATAGGTATATCAACGTTAGAAGGACACTTATATTCTGACGTGATAGTTGCAGTTATATTTTCAGCGGTTTCTTTATCATTCATTAGCGAATCAGGACACGCGATCGCAAGTTCAGGTTCATCCTGTTTCTGCAAGAAGAGCAAGTTATATTGGAACCACAGGTGACAAAAGTAGACACGACTTGATTCCACAGCATGCTCAACTTGTTTAATGCAAGACATCGTCTCAAGATTCACCCCTCCTGTAACTGCATCTTCCTCATAGCCGTTCGTTTTGGGATATAAGTGCTGTTTAGTAGGAAGAGAGAAACAAGACATTGCGTGGATGCAGGGTTCAGAATGTCTTTAGATATGCATTGAAATGCTTTTACTCCTCGACATGGAAAATACACATGATAATATGAACGTGACCTGTAAAAATCTTGGTCGGTATAATAGTTTAAGAGAAAAAGGTAGGATACCTTAGTGTCGAAGAGTCCAGGATGCCCTCCAAAGTCTGGAGGCATTGACGTGACTGCAGATGCCCATGAAACTTGTTCTTCCTGCAATTTTAGAGTTCAGAAACCGATCTGGTTTAAAAACTAGAAATGGATTCATCGCTAAACAGAAGGTTCCCGATATCCGCAAATCTTATTACAAGAAATTTCGTTCTTAAAGCATCGAAATAAATCACTGCTACAGAATAATTCTTGTGCAAACTAGTGAAAAGGATCAACTAAAGGCAGCTGAGGACCAACCAAATATTTCTGTTGGGCGTCGATAGGTTCTCTGTTGAAGACTCTACTCATTTCACTATTTGCTTGCTCCTCACCTCTTCCAACAGTTGTCTGCATGCTCACAACAGCGAAAGCAAGGTTCAGAATCAGTTCGCAACTCAAAACGCTCGAACACACAACCATAGCAGCAGACAAAATAATGCCAATTTTCTCATTTATTAAAACAAGAACGTATATACTTCGATTTTTCATCGAATCAATTCTGTAATAGCCATATGAGCTTCTTTCAAAACAGGAAAAAGAAAAGAGAGTGTTTTACGTGTTGACATATAATATTGTGAACTGAGATTGTATAGGGTTTAACCTGGCATTCTGTAAATGTCTCATATGTTTGGTACTTTTTAATGAGACACGTGGCTTATAATGACCAATGGAGCTACGAACAAAACTTACCTCTCCACTTGAGATGGTATTAGCGTCTTTGTTTTTATCTGAATCTTTGAGATTAACACTGAAACGAATTAAAAAATGAAAAGAGGGTCAGGAAAAGATCCATTTCATACTGCATGCAATAACGGCGATGGTAAACTCCTCATCTCAGAGAAATTATGAGGAAACTTCAGCATATTACAAGACCTCATGTGGAATCAAAACAGCTTGGTTAACGTACTAAAGAATTCATCTAAGACAGCATTTGTTTATAGATAAATTACTCACAATCAGTACCTATAATCTGTTGATTCAGAGATGTGCTTAGACATGAGGGTGGCCTGGAGGAACAAAACAGGACAGGGGTTTCAGAAAACCTTAATCAGACAATAAACAGTTGTAGAAGCTAGTAATCGAAAGCTAGTGATGCACATTTTCAATTTCCTCAATAGTCCTTTATTGCACAATACCTGTTCACCAATGATGCTGCGGGTTTCTGGTAGCTGTTCTTCGAGCTGCAACACACGTGCACAAGACACACTAGCTTGTCCTTCATTCTGAGATCCTTGCAGTTGCATCATGCGTTCCTGTCCATAAGAACCGTAAACAATAAATACAGTACTATCTGCATTTGTCGCTGCCTGCCAGCATTATAATGGGTACTTGTTTTCACGGTACACCCCAAACTGAACCTCCATCGTATATTTAGGCAATGAAATGCTGGAGCTTATTGAAGAAGAAAATTAAACTACTAATATTTAGCAAAGTTACCTTTATAGAGGACATTTTAGCTCGCAAGCTCTGCTCAATTTGATCTCTGGCCATATGGAATGGTAGGTCAAAGACATCCTGCCCATGTCACCTTCTCTTTGTTATTATCCTAGTAATTCAGATATTTATCGACAACCTGTACACACAACGCTAGAGCGAAATCTTGTATAAGAGAATTTAACACATTACAACACACAATGTTCACCCACGAACTCTGGATCAAGGAACAAAAATGTGGTTATTAGTTTTTTAAAATGTAAGTTTACATCACTAGTTGTATATACACTTACAGTACGCCCTTGCAAAGGAGTCGGAGGTGGTTCAAGATCCACACTGCCGTTACCAGTGCTTCCAGACCTAGGCATACCATTTGATGTATTCAAAGAATCACGCATGTCAGCCTGCAAATAAACAAAGCCATTAGAAAAGTTCAAATTGAAGCAATAAGGAATACCAGATGCTTCAATTTGGAAAGGTCATGCATGAAATTCATCAAGTTAGTGATTTCAAATCCATCGATTCAAATCATACGACTAGTAAATTTCAGACACTGAGAAATTATTCTGCATTTTTGGCATCGAGATGTCCATCAGTGCTGGAAAAAGGATCAAGTAGGCGATCACAACCAAGATCTCGAAATTGAAAATGCAAGGAACGGTTTTCCATTTTAGTATACATTAGTGTAGACTATTCCTCGCCTTCACCTTAAGAATAAGTAACTCCAACAAGACTTACTTTTATGTATCTCGCAAATAGCCACAACCAGGCCATGATGACATACCTGCATGGATCGTAACAATGCACGTAAATCCGCATTCTCAGCCACTAGCTCCTGTTTCTTCGACTCATATGCATCAACCTGCCAACGAAATTTCCGATACATGTTTCAAATCATCATATAGATCCTTCGTATGAGACCACCGCAATATACTGTTTTTTTCGTGGAACTAACAGAGAAGTGGAACAAGATGCACAATTGAAATAGAAAAAGAGCTCCATCTTAAAGTAGCATTGTGCAAACAGCAGACGACAAGAAGTTTCAATGCTAATGATTCTCACGCGTAATCACTTGTAATCTTGAAGTGTTGTCGCAAAGGGATTCGAGAATCCAGGGTACAAGAGCAGTAATTCAGAGAGATAAGAACGTGGAAGATGACAACAAGACTCTTTTAAGAGATACAGTTGGAACTGATTTGTTTTAACTTACTATCATTTTGTAAAAGTCCCCATCAGTCTTCTTAGGGTTCCATGTACCTCGTTGTCTTCCTTCTTTCTGTTTACCAAATAAGGCAAATAAACTCTACATTATTTACAATCAATATTATATAACCAACGATTACCAAAAATCACTGTCACACTCCAATTGATGAGTTGAATATTGTTGACCGCAACATGGGTGTTCGAACAACTCGCGTCCATAAAACAGAACTCGTCAGGGGGACTAAATACTTTAATGTTGAACACATATCAAGGGGCAAGAATGGGAAGGTAGCTAGATATCATCAATTGCAGTAATCCTCTGAAGATAGTGACCGAGAAGCAATTACTATATTAGCCAACCAAATCATCAACATTAATCTTTAGGAATTGAAAATAAACTCAGTTGATCTGAAATCGCTGAAGAACTAAAACATCAGGCTAGTGCAATGAAAATTCCTCTCAATGTTTTCTACGCTGGAAATTTTCCGAGCAGGTGCAGGAAATCCTTGCGGATATCTTCATTCGGCATGCACAAGATATTTTCCAATTTTTGGAATAGATAATATTATGAATTTGAATGGAAAACTCCGGGACGTTATTTTCCCGTGATATGCTCATGCACATACTCAAACATGTGCATCAAAAACACAAGGACGGCATTAAGTAACGGATACGGCTATCAAGCATGATGTGGAACTTTTGAAAAACGTGAAAATACTCGGACTTGTGTTGCATTGAAAAAATAAATGAATACCTGAAGGAGATGTATCATTTCTAAGCCATTCTTCGATTCCTTCTTTTTCTCCATCACCACCTGATTGAGCCGCTCCTGTATGCAAATCAACTTTAGTAGGATTATACTGGTTGACCACTTGATTAATTCACCTAAGTAATTTCAGGGATTATCAAGCAGGTTGATTATAATTCTTCTACTTTATCACAATTTGCAAGCGGCATTGAACACGAGGATTATAACCAGTAAGTGCGATTTCTCAATGCCCTTTATAAACTGGACGATGACCTGAGCGTTGTCCGACATCTACATAAAAATGCAGTGAGTATACCTGTAGCTTCACATATTCCTTTTCCTTCTTCTTCAATTCGTGGTTTTGCTGTGATCTCACTTGCTGTCCATGAACATGAGGGAAAATGTTGAAACATGACAAACAACATCAAATCACTAAAACCAAGTCACAATAATAGGTATACGGTGAAGGGCTGCTCTTATAATCTTTCTACTCACCACCAGTAGAGAAAATACGACCCAAACACCACTTCCCAAAATTTTGTAAATGATCTCCAATGCATTCAGGCACAAAAGTATTACAACTGGACTGCAATTGCTTGAGAATGGCAGACTGTACTGGTCTTACCTGTGTGGCAATCAGCATACGTTGGAATTCATCCTTTTCCTGTTGCAATTTTTCCAACTGTGTCTTGAACGCAGTTGCCATCTTTTGCTCCTGTTACCATCCCATGAAGGTCACTTTTAAATCACAATATCAGACTTGGAATAACTTGCGTAATAATGACGTTAGTTGAGTTACCTTGCTTGCCATTACTTGCAATTCACGTTCCTTGCTACTAAGCTGATCAGCCAATCTTTCCATCTTGGCCTCTAGCCTAGACATATCTGACATCAGCCTGAGCAACAAACAAGCTTTTACAAGTTATACGTTGTTGACTTCCTGAAAATAACCAGAGCTTGCGATAGGATGAAATGTACATCTAGTTGAATATACAGACCGGATGTCATAAAGCATATATAGCTTCTCAGAGTCCATGACTCTGACAATAGTAACGAGAAGGTCATGGACTAAGAGAAGCCACTTTCATTTTGATATCCAAAGGACGATATCTGAAATAATGACTTGAATCAAAATAGCCGCAAAGTTGGCAGCATATTGATAGAAATAGGAGAGAACAGAATCTACGTTAGTAACGAATTGCATTTTCCTCTCCTATTCGAAACTCTCTGGACATCACAATGATAATGCTGGCTCATATGCAACTTACGAAAATATAACATTGGACTGTACATGGCACAATGTCTAAGCTACTGCGAACCTTTGTCTCGTCTCGTTAGCAGCTTCACGGTACTCAATGTCTCGTTGTCGTTGCTGAATCATTGAATATATACAATTACATGTCTTTGCAGTTGATACCTGCCACAAAATCAAGCCACTATCAAAGGTAAAAAAAGTACTCGGACTGCAAATTTCTCTCACAACCAATTGAAACAGTCTGCAAGGAAGAGAAAGACTCGTAAAAGAAAAAGCAAGCCACAGGATGAGAATTATACAGGATCACTTGAATATAAACTGAGTCCAGATGGAAACCCCAAGGCAACCAGCGACTGATTTAAGTACTTGATGCAATGATCCAAGTTATGGACATCTGCAAAGACATCCTCCCTGCAAAGGAGAAGTGAAAGTGCATTCAGTTCATACGATTCAAAACTGGGGAGAAATTCCGATTCACCCTGAGACGGATCGAAACGCTTGAATTCTCCTTCATCGTTACATAGCCTATACACAAATCATTGCTCAACCAAGGGCTACATCTACAAGAAACCACACTTGGGCTTTCGAGAATGGCTAAAAAAGACGAACTCTTCCAGCTGCATATCCTCAGGCTGAGGCCAATTTGTGTAGACTTCTTAAGAATGGTTTGACAAGGGATGTTAGATTTCACCTTTCTCCCTGTAAACCAGGTACAGCATAGTAGAATTTAAGGAGCCAAAGAAAAATAGTTTTAGAATGAATGCAAAAGGGTTGACAAGCTTTACCCCTTTTTGTAGTCAGCCTCGTAGGAATCCTGAAAAGGACGTGTCCATGCCCAGGTTTAGGAAAGCGGCATGGAAGCCAAAAAGGAGAAAAAAAAAAAAAAAAAAAAAAAAAAAAAAACAGAACAGAACAGTCTAGACCAAAGATATTTGCACAAAATGTAGATTTAAAGTTTAAATCGTGAACATTACCACGCACCTAGCAGTACGACTAGGGATAGCAGCACACACATACAAATACACACACATATAGATATATACGGCACGCTATCTACTTTTCTCAGAAAACTAGAGCCATGAGCTTTTTGCGATCGCTAATATATGTCTAATAGAAAAGCTAGTGGGAGTTACATAACCTTCTGCTTAATAAAGTGAAGTATCAGACCACGTCTTACCATGTAACTACCTTCGATGTCGCTTATCTTCATTGCCTCTAGATTGCTTGGATGGATTAAGGATGTTTGTTTCCCAGAATGCAATGGCCTGGATTAGTACGTATGGTGGAACCAAAAACAGTCAATTGCAGCAGAAAGGATCAGCAGCTTAGATTTCGAGGCTTTGTCACTAAAGGATTGATGATACTAGCCGGTCCCGAGGTCACAGAGAATCAAAAGGAGTAGGAATGGATTATCTATTAGTGCTCCACTGAAAATGTGTAGAGTGCGACTCCATGTGGACAGTCATTGTGCTCCACATCGTCCAAGTATTCCAGAGGAATGTGCATCTTAAAGAGAAAGGGACTGTTCGCAAAATAAGAGGTAAGTAAAAAGGTGGAGCTCCAGGAGACCTAATCAACCGAAGTTCCCTCTCAAAATAATTTCTACCGCTCAACTGCTGCCAGCAATAGTTCGAAATTTGAAGAGAAAGAGGTTTTGAGAACGAGAAGCAAGAAGTAGCATGTTCCTTCCAGAAGATGTCAAAAGACACGGTCCTTACACGTTTGAACCAGGGAATATCATTGTCACTTGAGCCCAGTAAGCAGCTGATAAATGCTTCTAGCAAAACCGTATTCTCTAGTGACAAAAAAATGTGGAGGCGCCAGATAGTGGCCACAACTCTCTTACGATTCGTCCCCAGTCCTACTAGTGGCCCCTTATTTCCCACGTTTCAATTACCACATTACCAATCAGCCATCCATAAAGCTCGAAAATAACCGCAAATCTCCACAAAATGTGTTGCCTAGTATATTCCTGTAATTCTCCATGACCTCACAGGTACCTGATGAACAGTCACACTCTTCATACAAAACACCATTTCGACAATAGATGAACCCTGTAAAGTTCTTCACCAGTGTGCACGGTGAGTTTAAAGGTTCTGAACAACAATTCCTCGTCCATACTCTTCCATAAACAACGTTAAAAGGTGTTTATACTTCTCACAGCCACCAGCTCGCAACGAAGCGAAATACTACACGTAAGAAACACTAAGCTCACGAACTCCAACAAACTCACTGACTAAAAGGAAAAGAAAGAAACCCTTTCCACAACTCACAGACTCGTCTGTGTCACTCCTAGCTCAGATCCCTTACATTTTTCCCAATGCAAAGAACATGCTAAACAGTCTCGTCAACATCCGTCACATTCCATTAAGTCCTTCGAATCCTAATAATAAAAACCGAGCCGTTTCGCAATAAGACTTGCCAGCTCGAGGCAGTAATTTAGCGAGGTGCCGCCTACAATGCGGTTGCTACAAGAAAGCAGCGAGATATACAGTGCCTAATTGCAATGCTAGCTTCAAGAAGGACGGGACGGAGAGGTGGCGAGATGTAGAGCTCCGATCTGCAAGCTCAGGCTTCAGTGAGCTAACGACTTGAAGGAATGGATCGAGCAGAACAGCAACAATGACGGCAACAAAGCTTAAGCATCTGCTCAAAACAGCTCTCGCGCGCGGAAACGAAGACAGAGAGAGACACACACGCGGGGAGAGCGAGAGAGAGACCACAGATGCCCAGCCGGGCACGGGCAGGGTCCAGTGTGTCAGACCGGGTTAGAGGAGATACAGCGTGCTTTTCCAGGAGCGCGGGCCCGGCGAGGGCCGGGTGGACCCGGGCTAGCGCTGCTACTTTATTCCCGACTTTATAGCTATAGATATAAAAATAAGAGTAAAAAACAAAAAACAATTAACAACTACAACAGAATAATTAATTAATTCTCTTTTACTTCCTGCTGTGTCGATTATTATTATTTTTTTTATTATAATTTCACTGGGATTATTGTGGTTAAAATTCCTTGGGGACATGAGAATTTAAAAATTTGTCGTTTGTATGATGTATGTATATTTAAAAATGTGTATTCAAAAATAGTAATTGGACATATATTTATTGTGTGTGTATCACGTTGTGACATTTCTAAATAACTTTGTGATGCATGGTGTTCTAAACTGTTGTTCCCAAGCTATCTCAACAATGTTACAAACACATTGTGAGTGATTTTGGAGTTGATGTGTGAAGTTGTGCATTAGTATAAAAATAGAGAATGGTAAAATAGTAATATTTTAGAGTATAGCTGGATCATATTATGATTAAATACTATAGTTGTAATATTTGATAGTATATATATATATATATATATATATATATATTCATATATGCACATTGTTTATCATAAAAACTTTGTATGTCAATTTGTATGATGTATTTTTGCTACACTTCCCAATCTAACAACCAAAAACTATAATTTATTATACATCATTAAATTAGTTATTACTTATGTAAATAAAAATATTTTTCTTTACATAAGTAATAGCAACATCATGTAACTTTCCGAAAATCCTAAAAACATTATTATTACAATATTTTATTTATTGTAATTTGATTTAACAAATTTATCATTTCTTCATATTTGAATTACTAATCTACTGTCCTTTTTAGATAAATTCATATTTGAGTATTCGAGTTGAATAAACCATAACAAAACTAGTAATTTTTTAAATTGATTGATACTATTAAAGTCTACTATACCTATATAAATTAATGGTAGATTGGATGGCTTATGGTTCTTTTGGTGTTCTACTCTTAGATTCATGTTAATTAATTTGGTAGAAATGTTTTAATTTTATCAATTATATATTTTTCTATTTCAGTATAAACAAGAATAAAATAAATCCAAATTTTCACTATATTTCTCATCTTATCAAATATATGATAATGAAATTTAACTTCCTTAATTTAAAAATATATATATAATAATTTACAGTTTTATTTTATTTTTTAAAGAAAGTAAAAATAATTATTGTAGCATGTATGCATGTATATGTATATATATGTATTTTATTTTTAAAAGAGTAATATTTTTTAAAATAATATATATATATATATATATATATTTTTTTTTTTTTTCTAGTCATCATTCTTTATCAAAGTTAGTGTGAAGGTTAGAAAAAATATGTAAAATATTGCCAAGAAGTATATAGATTTAAAATAACATGGAGTAGAAAACATGACTTGATAGCACATGTAGTCACTCCATAATTATTGTTTTAATATGTATTTTTTTAGGAAAATGTTAAAATGACCTACCTATTTACAAAATTAACCCACCTTATTGTAACTATCATTAGAAAAATGGATCATTTTCAGAAACCATTATTATAATCATAGCCCTCATCCCAATCCCCCTTGTTCCTAGTCCTCACTTTCTTCATTCCAACCCACCCTTGTTCCTCTCCCTTTATTCCTAGCTCTCATCCCAACCTCCCTTGTTTCCCTTCCTTTGTTCCCAACTCTCATCCCAACCTCCTTATTTCTCCCCATTCTACATGATAGAGTAGGTCAACTTAGTAAATGGGTGGATCATTTTAATAAAATTTTATTTTTTGATAAGGAGCAAGGTAATCAAATGAACCTAGAAAATTGTTGCTCTATAACCTTTATTGAAAAGTATCTACAATACAAATACAAGAAAATAAATAAATTAATATCTTGCATGTAAGGTGTTTTGATAAGAAATTCTTAAGAATATATATATATATATATATATATTTATAGCTTCAAGCTTGTAGGAGAAAATCTAAAAATATCCAATAAGACTAATATTTATATATGAAAAAATAAAAATAAATCATAAAACATAAAACATAATTTTTTTGCAAAGTTTAAATATTAAAAAATATACAAATTATTTTTTGTCTATTAGATTGAGGAAAATAAATATTTAGTTAACATTTATACAAACATAAATGATTACAATTTATTCACTTGTATTATTTAAAGTTGTATCTATAAAAATATAGATTATAGGAGTTAATAGAGATTTCTTGGCAATATAATGTGGTCTTGTCTTAAAGAAGAAGAGAAATTAAAAATTATATATAGACAAATATAACTTAAAGATATTATAAGAACCGATGGCCCTTTTTTACTACTCTTTTAGTTAATTTTGAAAGTGCTCAAAAAATTTGAAGGTATTATAGTTAGAGTTGAAGGTTTATTAACAAGAAGTTTTTTGAATTTAGAAAGTTCAAATTTAGAACTCATATATACCGGCCATGCTGACATAAAAATGTTGGATGAAAATCGATGAAAGTGTAAGTGCTTTTGAGATACCAACTTTGTGCATACATGACTCTGTGCATACATGACATACACAAAATCAAACTAAAAAAAAAAAATTGTGCCAAGGTTGTGAGACTGGAAACAATTTGTAGTAACCAGTGGATTTCCAGAGGCTTCTTACTAATCATATCATATACCTATATACTGATTTGTACATAAATTGTTCAACTAGTTGTGATATCTTGAAATCCCTTTGAAGAGTATGACCGAATTCATAAACATCTAAAATACTTTTCCATGTTTTTGTGTCCAAACACATAAAAAACTGTTTTTGACAAACCAGAATTGTAACATTGTATTACTTGGATTCAACAAATAAATTAAAAAAACAAGGTGTCAAAATTATTAATCACACTATAATTCGTAAAGCAGTATTTTCGTTTCTGATTAAGAAAAATCAGACAAATTTATATAAGAATGATATTCTATGTTCAAGACGAATGAAAATTATTACTCATGTGGCTGAAAAGTAATTGTAGACCATGCTGGATATTCCACGCTTAAGAAAGTGTTCCAAATGATCATATTGTACTAGGACAACCTGTCAACAATCATTGTACCTAAATATACAGCAAGCAAGGTGTCCGCAACAAGAGCAACCCCCCATCTCAACGGTACGCCGCTCAGTCATTGCAATCGAACTTCATAGTCCAAAAGTGGAAGTCGTGGAAGTCGTGGAAGAGGCGAGTCTAAACTTGGATATAAGAAACCCACCTTCTCAGAATGATGTTATTTGGCCGAAGGGTGTCGTCTGCTCTCAGTTTTAGAAACATTAACAGCGTGGAAATTATGTAGAACTCTCCCATATCTATTTTCAAGGATATACTGAAGTCCTTAACTTGATCGAGGACATCAAGAACATTGAAAGAATGGTTAGCTTTTCAGCAGGACGAAAATGGCGTCTTCTTAAAGCAATGCCATTTGGATAACTGCTAATCTAACCTGGAAACCCAAAAGGCATGTCAATATCTTAAGCAGAGACAAGATGCTCATGTAGAGTCCCATTCGGACCAATGGTACGTTTGTTGCTCATACATCAGAGCCATAGAATGGAAGGAAGCCCCCTCTGCATATGACAGTGATTACAACAATCAGCAAAATTTTCTCCAGATTCGTGTTACATTCTTTGCTGCGGACCACTGATATACATCTTCAAACCAAGCCCAAGCACAGGCAGAAAAGGAATAGCTGAGTGCACATAACTATCTTCACATCAAGAAGGGAACCAAGGTGACACGTGCTTTCCCAACAGGCCAATGTTTCTGAACATTACAAAGTCAACCAAATACAAAAGATTGTCGTACTTAGAAAAAAATACTACACCAAAGCTGCGATTCAACCATCACAGTGTCTTACTAGTATAGTTTTATTAACAAAAAGAAAGAGGGATGGTCACCTCGGATTGCTATGTCGAGAGAAATAGTCGTTGTCGAGAGATATAGCCAAAGCTAAAGCGACAGCTCTTTCAGATAATGTCAAAACTCGCGAGACTTGCAATGGTTCAGCCTGTACACCAGCACATTTGATTCGAATGGAGATAAGTGTTACATCGAATGCACGCCGAGAGCCTCTACTTGCGGTAACTGACTTTTATAATAATCAGCAACGACCCTCAAAATGCTAACATTGAAGGGTCTTCCCGACAAGGTTTCTAAACTAGGTTGTTCAACATAGAAATCGTCTGCTAGTGGATAGTATCTGGTTAACCTCAATAGGTACCAAAGGGAAAGAAAAGAAAAAGGAGACAAGAAACACACAGGAAAAAAAAATAACAATCAAGAAAAATTAATTTTAAAATTAGAAAAGAACAAGAACAAACAATACAGCACTAACCTCCTCAGCTGCTGTTTGCAGTTGATGCATTTCCTGCACACCAGAGTGTTGCTTCGTATTTGTTAAAAGGGGGCCGCGCCCATGGAGTACTTCATCGGGTGCAATATAGTGTGGACTTTGGTCCGGGTGTATGTCACCAAATCGAATCACGTACTGTCCCGCATCTGTCAAAAACTGCAGCCACATAATTTCCATATTACATCAACCGTGTATAATACACAAAAGCGGTCAACAACTCCCAATTTCCAGAAAATATCCACTCGCGTAGTCAACATACGCTTGAAAAATTCGAAGGAAACAAGAGTTAGGTTGGATACCTCATAACCAAAACCTCTCCAATTGCGGTCTATTTCTGCAAGCGTTCTGCCATGTTTATCCTTCAAAGAGAAGGTCCAATTCCAAAACCCTGGATTCTCCACTGTAGCAAATTGTTGGTCCCTGCAGAGACCATCGCCTCTAGCATCATAATGCTTGAATGTATCATACCCAAATAGATATATGATTCACTCATATTTGGGGATCACAAAGAGCAAACTCTGGGCCCACAATCATGCAGATATTGTATTGAGCTGCAGAACATTGGAAAGCCTCAGATCCTATATCTCTACAACAATGTATGACAAAAACAAACTTCAGAATGAAGAAGGTACCCCAAATAAACGTCATATATACGCCTCCACAAGTGCCATCTCCGGTGGCATTCGCCGATTACCTGCATTAAAAAACAGATTGATCAGTTCACTCGACTAACAATTCGACATAACAATTGATTAAATTCCCTACCCACTCTTGCTATGCAGGCAGTTGAGATGAACTAATGGTAATATAAATAAAATACAGAAGATATTTAACGTACATTGCCATCAATCTCCACAAAGATCGAGCTATTAACTACCCAAGTTGGTCTTCGAACCTGCACACAAGAACAAACGGGAAATTAAAACTGAACAGCATAGATGGTGAAGTTTTCGAGATACAAAAATAAAGGACCTCAATTACTCAACATTTGAGAGTGAAAAAAATTACTTGTATCAAGTTCTTCTCAGGAATTGTAGCTGACCTTGAAAATCACATTACTCTGACCATCATAGATCGTTGCCGTGAAGGGTCGCCGCGTGCGCAGAATCTACAGGCAATCACATAACTTGTATGGTAAATGCCAATGAAAACTCGATGGTTTCATAAAAACGATTGAGTTAAAGACGTACGCACTAACTCAACAGCAAGATATGAAAGCGGATTAGCGTGTTATTCACCTGCCGCAAGAAAACGTTGCTGAGCTCATTGATGTACCCCACGGGCTGAGATCACAAAGGCGATATGTTCCACATCAGCTGCTGCCCAACATGCAGAACAATTTCAGAGTCTCCGACCAAATTTAGGTTTACTTTCACACATACAATATTGATGTGCAATCAGCTTCAGGATTTTAATAACTATTCAGGTCAAAGTGTGGTATCTTGTTACAGAATATACGGCCGACTTGAAATTGCTTTCGTAGGTCACTGATCCATGAAAAAATGTCATTCAATAGAAAATGCTGAAAATGTATTTCTCATTGTCGCACTAAGGGCAATCCAAAAATTGGAATTCGAAACAGCGTACTTACAGCTTGAGGTTGACGGGGATCCATAATGATGTAGCTATTTTCCTGTAAGGTACAAACAAGTTCGTGAACATTAGTGATCCATGTCAGATAGTCTAACATACTTCTCTGATAAGAATTCTACGCCGTATTTTTGGCCCCAATCGTAACTCAGAAAACGGAAACGCGGGACAACCGTGCCCTAGAAAAAATTGGCATGCAACACATTGAGCTGTTGTTCTTCTGAACGGCACATAGTACAACACGAGAACGTCAATAAGGCACATGATAAGAAAGCATTCACGAAAGTGAACAAGCGATGACAAACACAACATGAAACGAATGGTACCTGCTCAAACCCAAAGGCCAGGTTGGCCCATTCCACATTCCGAGTAATTATCAAGTCAGGCCTAGCTAGCACTGGAACCAGAACCATCTGTCGTGGACATCAGAGCAGCATTATCTTCTTAAGTGATCATAATAGTCTGTCTAACCTTATACGGAGGCAACCAGTGCAAATGAATTGCTTTGGAAGTGTAGAAAGCGTGGTGCCAAGAATGAAAGCCACCCGAGTTCAAGTCTGAAATAAACCACATCTTCGAGTCCCAAATAGCTTCTGGATTATGTTCGTAATGGAATGACATGCAATGAGGCTATAATGTGCAAATTTATACCTCTTCTGGAGAAGATGGCTTCAACGACCCGCGCAAAGGTTGACTCAATGGCGGCTGAGATGGATCTTCGTCATAGGCGGCAGACGTGTCTGTATCATATGCTTCAGATGATTGTTTCATTCGCCGTCCGCGTGCCCGTACCGATCTTATTTCTCGCATTCTCTTCTCATACACACTCTCGTGTCGAACCCCTCCCAACGCCAGTGACCTACTGAGACTCCATGGTGATTTGCACCGCCCGGATCTGTTCCAACATGGCCGGGCCGACTCGCAATCCGCCAACGTATGCAGCGATGAAAATGGCAAAGTACGCCAACGACCCAATTGCTGGGGATTTACTGCAAAGTATTTCCAAGAACCATTGTGATGGAGTTCCGAAGCGCAACCTTGGTACTGCCTATTTCTTGCACCTTCATTAAAGACAGGTGAGTCAGTCGCGCCAGTCGCAAATTCTAAATCCGTGTGCTTAACAGATCCCAAATAAATTCCACAGTGCAGTGTTTGAAGTACGCCATCCCAATCTCCACAAACCTGCCGAAGAACAAGGAGTATTTTTTTTAGAGGGTTCCCTCGTCTAGTTTCAACCCCATCTACATTCCACATAAGTTCTCGAGGCTCGCATAGCGATGACAGCAAATGATACCAACATACATTTCCTGGCACGTCTATTAGATCTACAGTAAGATTCCTTCAACAGTAAAGATTCCTTCAATAGCCTAAAATTCTGTAATTGTTTGCACATGCAAGGTGCACAGAAACAGAGCGAGGGAGAATTCAGGAAGGAACGCCGAAGTGCTACGCAGCCAAAGAACTGTCATCAGAAAGAGAGTGACCATTGCTCTAACATTCCTCGCCACTCCCGAAGTCAACGTTGAACCAGAAAAATCAATGTAACAAACGGAATTTCTTCTTGAATCCAATCCTTCATTTATTTTGCAAAACCTTGCTGATTCAGAAAATTCACGCTCAAACCAAAAGCAAACCTCGCTCCATCACCTAAAAACAGGCGACACGGGAACTGTACCATGATCACGACACAACACATTCAAGCTCCAAAATGCAGCTACCAGCAACCCATTCAGAAGAACAAAAGAGTCACAACTCCAAAAACCCTATCTAACCCCCTGAATGAATCCAAGCAACGACACAAAATCCTACACCCGCACTGCCTCAACTCAAGAACAAACGCAAGAGCAGTAAACACGCTCTAGGGGTAATAAAATAAAATAAAAAGTTGAAAACATGCAACAAATCGTCATCACCAATCTGAATGCAAACCTGCACGAACAAAACAAGACAAAACATCCAATAAAATTACGGCAACTGAAGCGTGAAAAGCTTAAATTTGACCTGAAAACGTACCAGCAAGGATCGAGAGCCGTGGCGGTGCAGCCGCGAAAACGATCGCCGTAGAAGAGCGGCCATTTCTGCTTCGATCTCGCGTCTCCCTGCAACAATACTGCCTCGTTCTCTTCTTCTTCGTCTTCTTCTTCACTCTAGAGCCGAGATCCTCCCCACTTGGCCCGAACACCTCCACTTCGATCCCCGTGGATGTTCCTCCTCTGCATGTTTGGATGAATCTACGTATTGTTCATTTCTGTCTACGATTTTGGATGATCGACATGGCGGAGCCGGAGGATGGGTTTCCGCTTCTTCGCAATAAATTGAGTTTTTAAACACATTTCTTATTTTTGAACATAATTCTTTCTATTTCCCTCGTTTTCTTTTAATAGACACATATTCGTCTATCAAATTATGTTTTCTTTCGGATAAATTTATAACTTATCCGGGGAATAATATGTGATATATATATATATATATATATATATGCGAACATGTATAACAGTGTTCTTGTGGGATCATGCAAAACGGTGACTTTATAATAATTTCACTAAAGATTCATTATTTGAGCCAGTATTTCTTTAGTGTGAGAAGAAAGGATTGCAATGTCAATTCTATCTAAACCTATTTTTTTCATGTGAAGTAAAAAAAATCATGGCATTAAATTTAACTTGTAGAATGCCTAGAGAAATGAAATCAAAACATTCAATTTTAAATTTTGATATATATATATGTGTATATATATATATACATATGAACAAAATTGATACATATATATATGAACAAAATAAATACATTAATTGGGATTTTTTACTAAATTTATTCGGTTTTGGTCATAGTAACTTATTGTGTGAAAAACGAAGAAAACTACATTCATATTTATTATTAACATGTGTTAAAACTAGTCGAAGTGTTTAAACTAAGTTAATATACCACATTCATAAACTGATGTAAGTACACAGTATCTTATTGTGTGTTCAAATTACGTGTCACATATCAATTTAAAAAATATATATTATGTGTTAAAATTGTGTGGTGCATTATAAGATAATATGACCAAAGCTCAATCAATTAGTCAAAACCCCAGTCAATGTATCAATTTCCATGTACATAAATCAAACAACAATCTAAATCTGTTTTTTATTTTTTATTATTATTCAGGATCTTGTCAAACAAAAAAACTTTTTTGTTTGTTTGTTTGTTTGTAATATGGTTATTTAATTTAAAATTAAGTTTATACAAACATGTAAGAATTGGAGGCCTCAATACTTTTAGGATAAAAAGTGTTGTGAATTTTGTTCATAATAATATTAAATAGTGCAGATAGAATACTCTATTAGCCATTCATTAAGTTTCTATGAATGTTTATTGCACTGAAATAACAAGAGGAACTCTATAATAATATCAAAGACTTGTAACATTCAAATACCGAAAGATAAGAGACAGGATTGACTTTGTTATAGAAACCTACATTTCAATAATGTAATTTATTTGGATGAGTCATTTGAAATTTGTGGGTCATCAGAGATGATTATTGTTAGAGACAACATTGTAACTTGACATATACTTTTTTACATTCTATAATAAATCTGATGCATACTTGTATTATTATTATTATTATTAATATTTTATTTTTTCTTTCTTGTATACGTCAAAATTAAAATTGAACTTACTCTTTTACAAATTCTACCAAATTGGCATGGTTATATATCATTAATATATGTATATATATGTATATTTATAGTGTTAAAACGTGACAGTGATTATTTGTTTATTTAATCATACAAAAATATTTATTGATTTTTTAAAACCCAACACCCTATATAATTTAACAGCGAGGGCACAAATGACAACTCATTCAAATCTCCACATCAGCTGGAGATAATCTGGTGAAAGGCTCAGAACATGTTCGAGTTATTCCACGTCAGGAGTATTCAATGCTGACGTGGACGAGTCGAAAAAGCAGGCAGCCAATCAAGTCATTTCACGATCAGTGAGGTGGATGAGTTGGAACAAGGATGGGAACGTGGAGAGCGGGAGGCCCCAGAGGGCACGTGAAGGGAGCGGCGAGAGGCATGAGAGGAAGGAACGGAGAGTAGTAGTTTGTCGTTGCGCGGGCTTTCGTCCTGGTGCAGATTCGTCCAGTATGACGACGTCGGACCAGCAGCAGGGCGTGTCGCTCCGGATTCTGTGTGTCGATGCTTGTGCAGCAGCCCAGGTATGGCGAGGATCGACCAACTTAACGTGTCTTCTTCTTCGTCTGTCTGTAGGTGCGATCCGTGTTGGAATCGAGGCAGATGCTGTTGTTCTCTGCGTTCTTTTTATGCCTGATCCCTGTATGTAGTATAATTTTTTTGGCCCCTCTAGGTTTGTTGAATAGTGTGGCGGAGAGTTGGTGACTGACACTGCGGGTAAGGTCAGCGATGCGGTTAAGTTGTTACGGTACCCGGCTGAGGTGTGGCAAGCGGAGCTCATGTTTCGAGGAGTCTACTTGTTGGATTTTATTTTACTTTATTTTATTTTAAAAAAATTAATAATATATTTTTAACATTTTTATTGTGTTTTATTTTATGATTTTCCCCTTTTCCCTTTCTTCCTGAGGTGGTGAATGAGTGATTGTGAGGGTGATTGAAGCTTTGGATGGTGATGTAGGGTTTCTTTTTTCCGGACAGTGGTGTAGGTAACGAAGTAGTTGAGGTGTAAGAGTCGGTTTGGTTTGATTGCTTGTCAGTGATTGAAGTGTGAGGCGATTCGGTTCCGTGACTGAAATTCGTGTCATCGAGGGGGCTACTGTTAAGGACTTGGTTGCATTTCTCGTCTTGTTGGGATCTGGAATGCGAGGACGAAGTGTCGTGTTCGGGAGTAAGGGACGGGGCTTGTGTCGGATCCTGACTTAGTCGATGCGGTGGGATGGTTTGAGAGGGTAGAGGCAGGCGAAGAGAGGCAGAGAGGGCTTACCTTGCTTCGGGAGAAAATCGGTGTGGAGTTACTGGTGATTCTTGGCATCGCGGGGCGGGGGGTGCTTCGCGGTTGAATTTTAGAAGGCGAGTTTGGGAAGTGAAAGGTGTGTGGGGAAGGATGTCATGCTATTAAGCGTGTCGATTGCCGGGAGTACTGGAGAACGGGAGCCGTACGTGTATCACTGCTCCTTAACGGTTCCGTGAAGGGCGGTTGTACGTGCTAGTTAGCTCGTAGCAGCCGGTTCAGGTCGTGAGCATTCCCTGTTAGGGTTCGTATTCGCCAGCCGTGTGGTCATTCTTTCCCTCTATCATAGCAGGACCCTTGAGGAAAGGGTTCTTAATGCTAGCGTGAAACTTGCCAGTCATCTGAAGCTAAACGTTACATTAGCGTGAGGGTGGACCCAGGTTGTGTTCTCTGTAATCCCCGAAGTGTGTGAATCACATGTTTACGTGGGTGTGAAAAAAATTCAAGCACAACGAAGGCGACCGTCTTTGCACGACCAAGTGTTTTGCCGAAGTGGAGAATCCAGGGTTTTGGCATTGGACCTTTTCTCTCAAGGATAAACATGGAGGAACGCTTACAGAAACAGATCGAAATTTGGAGAGGTTTTGGTCAGTAGGTAACTAACTTCAAACTCTTGTTTCATTAAGTGCTGTCAGGCTTCTGATCGCACGAATACCCGACATGTGTCCAACTTCCTCGTTTAGTAGTCCCCTCGGATACACCCTTGAATATACCCTTCTTTTCAATTTCGAGGGTCGGTACTGACGCAGTAAAGCATGAAACGTGAATTACTGTAGGTGGAACTTCTCGATGTGTAATTCTTGTATAGGAATCAACGTGAATATATCGACGCTTGCAGAGCTGTCTTAGCATGTTGAAATGCTGTTATTTTTGGTTGCCATTAGTCTTGTTTCCTAGTTATCTTCTTGCAAGCATTGACACGCCTCCTGGAATTATTCAGACATGAGTGGCAATTGTCCTGCTGACATTGCATAGAGTATGTGCCATCAACATCTCACTGAAAACCTAGCCACTATTTGAATCCTTGGTTTTTTCATTTTGCTACATCCCAAGTTCAGGACACTTCTCACTGGCTCATTGTTTTCTACAGAAACAAATGCGTTTTATAACTCCACGCCTCTGAAAATTGGGCACAAGATATGCGGGCTGCGGTAGATTGTTTGTTTTTTAGATTAGCCGATTTTCGTCAACCACGATCAGCAATGAGTGGATTTCTTGTTGAACCGTTCACCTGAATTGGTTGACCTGAATTACATTCGACTTGAAGAGTGTAGCACCCGGGGTCTTGATTCTAGAAAATACTCTTTTTGTTTGGCACCTCTAGTTTTCCAGATTGTTTGTTCGTATCTCTGTGGGTCCTGAACTTTGCTCATAATCTTGGGGCATTTCCGATCGTGAGCCTTGTGTGGCGGATACATTTTTGTGCTCACAATTTGTGTATCCGGCTCATCTCGAAAATTGGCTCCTTGTCTTCTTATGCGGTCAATTAGTCCTTCAATTTGATGAATGGCAGCCCATGGATCATCCGTAGGCCGATCTTGGGTTTCTGCCCTCTCGAATGATAATGGGGTGATCGGAGGGGAAGCCGGTGGCGTTGACCGCAGGGAGTTAAGGGTGGGATTTCCTCCTATTGATTTGCAAACCCCGGATACTGGAAGCAATGCTTCACACAATAGCCCTCGAATTACAGTCGCATGTTTACCTTGTGAGGATGAGTTCATAGACACTGTACAGCTTAGGGTGGAGGATGATAAGACACATAAGCTAACTCTCGAGTCGGCAGAGATTAGCCGTGTTTGCTTTTCAACGTCGTCACCACCACGCTCTCCATGCGCTTTGGGTTCGGCAGCGAGTTGCTCTTTGTCTTGTGGAGAATCGTCAACGATCAACGAAGTGGAGGGGTGTGATGGACTACCGTCGGATTTCGATCCTCTTGGTGGACCATTTTCTCTTCAGGGTACGGAAATGGAGGTGGGATGCGAAGCTATAGCGGCTCGTTTGAGCGTTAGCAGGTTGAAGCAGAAGCTGGATGACGTTGCGGAAACTTTTGCTCTGCAGGGTAGTACGATTCAATTTCGGGACTTTTTGCAAGGGGAATCGAATATTGAAGCTCTATTTGGCTCGGGATCCCTGTTTCCATCACCTCCTAGTAGTATGGAAGGGTTACCTGTTCGAGGTGCAAATGAAGGTTTAGATGCGAGTCTTCTGCATGCAGAGACGCCAGAAATGTTGCAGGCTATTCGAGCTGGGAATATGAGAATAGGAGCCGAGTTTGCAGGAGATCACGGTCCTTTTGGAGATTCTCAGCAAGGACCAGTCTCTGTGCATCCTAGAACAGATTTATTCCGTCTGCGCTTTCCGGAAAAGACTCCCGACAAGCTGTATCGCAAGCGTGCCAAAACTTATCCTCCCAGCTACACCTTGTGAGTAACGTCCCCAATTTCAAATGTACCAGACACGTTAGGATTCAACGAGATTGCTAGAAATGTAAAAACATATGTGGGACCGCGTCTGTTTTCTTGTCAACGTGGTGCTTCATTCAGCTCCCTCCAAAAGCCGAGTACTACTAGTAGGAAAACAACAACTCAGAACCGTTTTGAACAAATTATCACGAAGGAGGGGCTGAATTTTGGAATATTGCATATAGTTCTGACACCTTTAATTGATATACTTTCTACTCAACTACCACTATTCATTTACTAATGCGGGTAGTCAACTTAACTTGTGTAAGGGAGGAGAGACCCACCCAATATTAGTTTTACTGAGTGATACGAATCGTTAAAACTAACATGTTATAGTGATCATTTACAGTGTGACGTGTATAAACATAGAGAGTAAGGGACATATACCTGCTGTATTTGATTTTCTGTAGCAGCATGATTGGTCGGAGCAACTTGAACAGAAGATTGGAAATTTACAACAGGTTCACTTGCAATTATCGTGGGGGTGCAAGCATGGTGCCTGCAAGTTTGTCGGTTTCGCATCTGGTGTAGATCATGCAATGTATTAAAATTTGTGGTCTGGTATTGTTGTTCACTTCAAGTTTTGTCTTTCATTCACTAAGTAAACAAATTCGTTCATCATGCAGACGACAGCAAAGAAATATACGAGCTTCAGGACCTTTGGGAGGGAATTCTGCAATAATGTCACTGGGGGCTCCCTTAGAGCTTGATTCTCAAGGTTTACCACCTTCTTTACCACCAACAGATGCGCCTTCAGGACAAGGTGATGAAGACCCTATGGACTCAGATCTTGTTGGGGGTGATGAAGATGATGGAGGCCGTCAGCACAACTTAGTGGATGCAGAGGATGGTGAGGCTCGCATGGACCTTACGGATGATCTCCTGCACAAAGTGAGTGGTTACCACCGTGATTTTACCGAGATGCATACGACAATCACTCATTTCAAGCTTAATGAAATGTTGTAGTTGCTATTAAGTATTTTTTCTGTAATTAGCTGTTGTGAAGTTTGTAGGCTGTATCCTGCGCGGTGCAATCGTTAGGCAATTGGTTAAGATTGCGTCAATGACATTGATTGTATCCTATACCGATTGTGCATTGTTAACTATTATTTTTTCCGTCAGTATCTCAGGATTTACCCTAAACAGTTGTTCAACTGTTGTTGGATCAGTTCCTGTGCTAAGAGATTTATGTACGAAAATCCTACGGCAGTCTGAACGAAAAATGTGTATCATTTGTACAGGTCTTTTCATTTCTGAAAGATGTTGATTTATGCCAAGCCGCAAAAGTATGTAGACAATGGCGAGTTGCGAGTGCCCATGAAGATTTTTGGAAGTCGTTAAACTTTGAAAGTCGTCAAGTTACTCACCAACAAGGTATTCTATGTTTCTGATACTATAGCCATCATAATATGCTGGTGCCACTGCATCTTAATAAAGTTTTACTCATTCTTCATGTGCTGATGTTTGATCGTGGGGTTAACAATTTACGATTGTCGTGATTGAGCCTCACCATGTACTTGGCCACCTTACAGTATGTTCTCTAGGAGACTGATCAGGAATGCTGCCGTGTTTTGGATGAATGCAGTTACGGTGCTGTGTGCTAGATACCCGAAGGCAACAGAATTGAATTTGAAGGGATGCCCTTGTGTTGATGAGGTTGTTGTACAACAAGCAATGCTGTCGCTCCGGTTAGTGGATTTCCCTATCTTCGTGTTTTGTGCTGGCACTATATCCGTCGGTTCTCTTCAATATAATAGACTTCTCAATTTTTTTGGGTCGATGGAGCATTGTGCGACAATGAAAGAGTTGACGTCAAAACTTTGTTGAAAGTTATTTGAAATTAGATGCTACCATGCGTGTTAACATGTAGGTTCTTGGATTGCAGCAACTTGGAGGTTTTGACGTTGGGGCGAGGATTTTTTAGTGATGGATTTTTCTATCTACTCTCCGGATGTGAGTCTTTGCAAAATTTGAGCATTACTGATGCAACTTTGGGAAGTGGTGGTGCTCAAGAGATTCAACTTAAGCACGAATCACTGCGCTCCTTACAAATTTTGAAATGCCGTGTGCTTCGGATAGCCATAAGGTTGACGTCCTTTCTTCACTTAAATCTGAGATTGCTCAGACTGTTCTTTATTCTCCATTCAGGCAATCGTTTCGGCGCTGTTATGAATTCTATGGATGATGTATCATGGGAGATAGTTCCTAGTGCGTCGAAGGGTTGAAGGCATCCAGTTCCCGTGGTACATTGTTTAGAGTTAGAGAGGGGTATTGTTATGCGCTTTTTGATGTGTTTGTTGTATTGGTTCTGTTTTCTGTAGTTGGATACTTCTATTTTCAAGATTGATCACGAAGTTTTGTCCTGGCTACATTTTGAAAATATTTATACACAGTATTTAGTATTTCATGTGGGTTCCTTAGCCATGTCGTTATTCTTTTTCTCTAGTATCTAAAACGCATGTTTGATCCCAGGTGTCTTTTTTTGGAGACATTATCTCTGAAACGGACAGGGATGGCATCTGCAATGCTTTATTGTCCCCGTCTTCTTAAGCTCGACGTATCATCTTGCCATAAGCTTTCTGATGCTGGAGTGCGTGCTGCTGCTACGGCTTGTCCGCTTCTTACATACTTGGATATTTCCAACTGCTCGTATGTCAGTGATGAGACTTTGAGGGAGATATCTCTTGCCTGCACTCACCTTCGTAGCTTGGATGCCTCCTACTGCCCCAATATATCGCTCGAGGTTAGTCCAGTTAAAGCTTTGCTGATGTCAATGTCGTCAGCTGCTTTCATGCGCGAGGTTCCATTTGATGTTCATCTACTTTTTATCGACGTCCTGACGTGCTCGACTGTTTTGTTTAATTCTATTTAAAACGGTGAATAAGTGTTGACTAGCTTTTTAACTAAGCTTATTCGATATTGGTGTGGTAGGGCGTTCGGATGCCTGTGCTTACAGATTTGAAGTTGGTTAATTGCGAGGGTATCAACTCGTCATCCATGGCTGCGCTTTCTTTTTGTGTGATGCTGGAGGTGGGTTCTTTCACGTGTGCTTGTTATGGAAACAGTAATTATCGATTATTGACGTATGGTATGAATAATATAAATGCAAATCTCTGTCGTTTTACTGTGCTTTCACATAAAGTCAAAAAATATATGTAACCATTGTTTTTAGTGATGAGTTTGGGTATTGCTGGTCCTTTTTAATGCATAACAGTGGAGTTTTGGATTGACTTAATTTGATAACCTATTTATATCCTAGGTACTTGCTATGGACTATTGTTGGCTGTTAACTTCAGTCACGTTGGATTTACCGCGTCTTCGAAGCATCAGTATCGGGCACAATCGCAAGTATTAAATTGATACCCATTCCACCTTGCCCTCTCATTATTTCCTTCATTGGTGGATTTAAATGTTATTTTCTGGACATTATGTTATACTGTGTGGTATATTGAAAGCGATATGATTTATCCTGTCATGGTAGCGTCTTTTAATGGAATTTGTTTAGTTACATTTTCGCCAAAATCTTTATTAACAGTAAAATATTCACAGCTGGAGTAGACATCACTTGTTTTGCCTGCAGTATTGGATTAGAAGATGTGCCCCTTATTTGTTTCCGGTTCAGCTTTTCTAAATTGGCCTGCCTTGTGGACTTTACACAGATTTGGGGAGCTTACGTTGCGAAGTCCTGCGCTCACGTTGCTGAATCTCAGCCATTGTCCTGCCCTGAGTCGGATTGATATTGCATCCAGCAGTTTCGAGGTACAGCTTTCGTTTCTTAACTTTTCGTTCCTTAAATTTTTCACTCTTTTGCAATGACATGCTCTGAAGTTCCGTTTAGTCAATTCTTGTTCTATTTTTATACCGAACTCTTTTAACGAAACTGTTCTGGATACGTCTCCTTTTGAACAAAAACAACAAATGATATTTTGAGAGGTGAATTTAACCTTATTATTGCTACTCACACTATCGCATTACTTGTTCTGAGGCTCCTACTTTTCCAAAGTTTGAAAATTTCAAAGTTTCTCTGCTTGTCGCAGAAATTGTGTTTGAAAAATCAAATGGGACTCTCCAGTTTGGCTTTACAATGTCCTTGGCTTCGTGAGGTGGATCTTACCGATTGTGAGTCTTTGACCGACTCAGTATGTGATGTTTTCGGCGACGGAGGCGGCTGTCCAAAGCTCGATTTGCTCACTTTGGATAACTGTGATGTACGCTGTCTTACTGCTTAAACCCTGCAATGTATAGTGTAATTGCTATGTTGTTTCATAAGGTTGGAGAGCTCATTTGTGAAGTATTAGATCCGAGATTTTAAGTTCTTATGTGAGATTCTTATAAAACGTTAATCGAGCAAATAAAAATTAAGAGTAGAAAGTTTCAAGAAGCAAGGACTGCCAGCAATTTATGTCCTCTCTTTGAGTTGCTCTTACATTTATGTTCCCGTCTAGCATTATCTTCCAAGGCAAACTTTATTTAGATTTTCTGACGCAGGTCAGTCAAGTGTGACTCAATTGTTCAAAGTTTGTGTGCAACTCTCAATCGGTGCATTCATGAATGCATTCCTTTGTTGTGGCAGGGTCTTGTGAAAGTGAAGCTGATGGCTTCATCCCTGCGTGCTCTTTCACTTGTGGGTTGCCGGAATATGATCTCGCTTGAGCTGTCTTGCCCTATCCTGCAGAGTCTACAGTTGGATGGCCGCAACCGCCTTGTTGCTGCTTCTTTTTCTCCTGTACTTGTCTCCTGAAGCCTTCTGTTTCACATTAATTTGCACTCTATCATCATAGAAGCCTCTATGCCATCCGGATGTAACTTGCTCAGAAACCCTACTAGGATGACTTATTGTGGGGCTTTTTTCAACAGTTTTTGGTCTATTTTGAGCATTAGCACCAAATCTAATCTTGGCTATTTTGGGTTGGATAATTCTCATTCTCGTTCTCATGAGTTGGGTTGCACTTTTCTTTTAATTTCATTTTTATCACAATGATATGTCTGAAAATGTGTCACTATTCCTGAATAGTTGATCTTGTTGCAGGTAGGATTGGTTTCTTTGAACCTGGGGATATGCCCACATTTGACAACACTTGAGATAGAAGCAGCTCAAATGATTACACTTGATTTGCGAGGATGTGGTGGCCTCTCTCAAGCCTCCATTCGATGCTCTAACCTGTCATCGTTGGATGCTTCTTACTGCAGGTATTTTTGCATATGATATTCGTCGTGTTTTAGAAGGCCTTTGCCAGATGTACTGTTGTGTACTGTTACTCATGCGCTATTTCAGCTTCTAAATAGACCTGTGTTTTATTTGGATTTGTGCAGTCGCCTTGGAGACGACTGCCTGGCCGCAACAACTGCATCATGTTCTGCCATTCAAACTTTGGTCTTGGCTGCGTGCCCAAAAGTTGGGCCGGCTGGGTTATTGGCTCTTAAAAAGCTCCCTCGCCTCACAATGCTGGATCTGTCATATACATTCCTCACGGATTTGTCTCCTGTATTTGAGGCCTGTCCTTACCTGAAGGTATATTATGTTACTTGGATAATCTGTCCTTGCAAGTACAAGTTTTACAAGTAGTTGTCACGTCACATAGAGAATACTAGATAGCGCGATTTTTTGTAAATAGTATTGACTTACGTCTTATAACGCAAATGGCAGGTATTGCGATTGTCTGCATGCAAATATCTTGGAGACACTGCGCTTAATGCATTGCATGGAGGCAAAGTTTTACCGCAATTGCAGGAGTTGGACATGTCCTATGGAAGTCTGGGCCGTGCTGCTATTGAAGGAGTCTTAGCATTGTGTCCCCACCTAACGCAAGTCAGTTTGAACGGTTGTCTTCATGTAACGGATCAATTGTGGAGCCGGCTCGCTACCCCTCCCTTCCCCATTGAACTCATGGCTTCAGAAGATACAGGAATGGAGGATGTTAGCTCCTCTGATGTTGTGGAATTTGAGCGAAGTCAAATGGATTCTAATCCTCATCACTTCGACATCCTCTGTGAAGACGTACAAGAGGTTACGTCCCACAAAAAGGAGATGATGGAGGAAGATTGGCAAATTGTAGCTACTCAAGATCATCAAGCACGAGATTGCAATCTGACTGTCAATCCAATATCTAGCTCAGCTCTAGTAGGGTTTTATGGGCCAGAAAATGAATATTCGGCCGTTGAGAATCAGTGGGTCTCTGAATATGGTGGTTCTTTTCCGCAGACCTTAGCGCTGATGACTGGACCAGCTCGTTTACTCCAGACTTTAAACTGTGTTGGCTGCCCTAATATTCAGACTGTAGTTATCCAGCAGGATGTCGCATGCCTTCATCTCACCACACTGAACCTCTCACTTTCCGGTAACATTCGGGAGGTTCGCCTCGGTTGTAAGAACCTGACAACCCTTAATTTGAGGTCAGTGCACTCCCGATTTTCATAAATTCAGTGATAAATGAATTTTTCTTTTTCTACTTGGAGTTATATTATGGTCCCTTGATTATTGCAACAGTAAGGGGACTGGACCATCCTAGACCAGTCGAACTTGTTTACTTTGTCGCTTTTTTCATTACACTTCGTTGATCCTAATGCTCTTGTAATGTGATCAGTCAATGTTCAGCACTTGTGGTACTCCAGCTCAACTGCCCTCGTCTTATTACGCTTTCTCTCCAGGTATTCCTATTGCCATGCTTTTGTCACTATTTCATTTTCGTTGGAGTTATCTTTCCAGAATCCTTATTCGTTGCAATGCTTCCTTTTTTGACAAGATAGGAGAACTATCAAGTAACAATACTGTTTTTGTCATGGTATCATTTCGATATCATAAATCTCATTTCTAAGAGGTATGGCAACCCTCTACAGTCTTGGATTGTGCCTTGAATCATGGCGACTCTTTCTTATTTATAGTTTTCGTCTCTTTTGTAGTCCTGTGGAATTGCAGCAGAGATGCTTGAGGATGCTCTCCGGGGTTGCAGTTTACTGGAGACCCTTGATGTTCGGCACTGTACGAAGGTGATTTTTACACCCTTTCTTTACATCATCTCTGGTACTTAAGTCAGTATTTGCATGTTTCGACTACTGAGTTAGGTTCGCAAGCAAAAACTCAATGATTTAAATATACGCTTTTATCTCTGCAGGTGTCTGCGAGCGTCCTGGCTCGCATACGGTGTATCTGCCCAGGGCTTAAACGGTTGTACAGCACTTCATCTGCATGACAGAAGCCTCAAGGGTTCCCCTGTAAGATCAATGAGATCACATCCATTGTAATTTAGCCAACTTGCACCCTCTGAAAAATACCCAAGGGTTTCGCATGACGTTCTTTAACTATACATTGGAGTTTTTTTTTGTGTTGAATATTGTCCATCGGAAATTGTTGAAATCCGAAGATTACTCAGTCCTGTATTTTGTGCTATCTGGTCTTGACAATGCAACCAGTTATTTTATTCAGTTGCCTTGTCGCTCCAGTGGTTGGTGGGTTAGATGAGGGGATTTTATGATTGTTCTCACGGTTACTACTATCAGTAGTCTAATTGGCATTCGTGTATTTCTATTTGTCAAATCATACCACTAGATTCTTCTTCAACTCTTCTGAGACCTGAAGCCCTACAGTTGAGAAGCCTACCTCAAGTGGAATCTAATAGCCGTACAGGGATTAGATTATTCTGTTTTTTTCTTTTTTCTTTTTTCTTTTGTACCTCCTTGCAAATATGGGAAGAGGTGAAGCGATTTGATTATTCTGGATGTCTTGTGACTCATGAATTCATTTTGAGAGTCTCTTGCGATTTTGATACACGTGTTCCATATGTATCGTTTCAAGAACATCAATGCGAGTTGATGGGAGACAGATTAAGACATAATCTCGTTGCAGAACAGGTCTGAAATTCTAACATAAGTACTGACTAATAAATGTGGGATCTCTTTTGCTCTTCTTGGCCTGTTTCTCTTGATTTCAATTTGAAGGATTTATCAGTAGTTTTGATGGTGGTCAAAGGTCTACTTTGGCATAATATTAGAATGTGATTATTTAATTTATATTAAATAATGAGGTAAATCTAAAGGCTTATTTTGATTCTATATTTGCTTGTAGAAACATTATAAATATGCCTTAAGTGATATTTTCAAAGCTTATTGAAAGCCTAAATTTAAGGTTGATATAGAAATTCTATTAAAGTAACTAAGTCCAGTTGATAGGGCATTCCATAATTCTTGTTTTGTGCATTGAATTAATTAAGAAAGAACAAATCTATAACCAAGCAAAGGTTCATCAAGAAATTCTTATAATTTTTATTCTTTTTATTTTTTATTTTCAATACAATAATGTTATTATTTAAGACAATAGTATTACTATGTATCTTGCATCTTGCATCTTATAAACACTACTTTTATTATTTTCAAAAATACCATCATTATTGTCTTTAAATTAATATTTTATTAATTCATATATATATATATATATATATATATAAGAATAAATAACTTTATATATACATATACATATACATATTATGAAGTCCATCCTTAAATATTCAAAAGATTTAATAGGCAAGTGCAAAAAAAAATTGAATCTATAAGAAGCAATATGTGTATATATAATTTTTTTTTTGAAATCTAATCTTATCCTAAGTATCTTTCTTCTATGATAGAACATAGTAAAAAAAGATTTATATAAAGTATTAAAACTAAAGATAAAAATATATATCATATTCATAAAAAATAAATATTTTAGGTATATATATATATATATATATATATATATAAAGATATAGACCTACTACTACTATACAAAAGCTATATAATTAAATTCCTAAGACTTATTATATTAGACATTGTTTTAAAGATTTGTTGCCTTCCTAAAAATAACAAATCTATCCATAGTTGGCTATAAAACCTCAAGACTATAAAATTATTAATATATATTCTAATAACAAACTAATATTTGCTACATTAATTATATTTTGTGATGCTTTGTTAATATTTAATTCATCAATATGATTCTATAAGAAATACTAAAGAACAATAAAAAAAACTAGCTAATTAAATGTGATTAAATAGAAATCAAGGAATTGCCTAATAGTAGTATGGTTTGTAGTTCTATTAAAATACACAATAAAGTTGTACTAATATATAGAAAGAAAAAAAAAATGAAACTATAACCACACCAACATTTTATTATTTATACTTATATACATATTTATTTCTAAGTTTTAATTTACTTTTAGTTTAAGGTACTATGATCAAGTTGTTTTGTACAACACCAACTCTTCTAACTTCTTCTATTATTTCATCCTATTAATACTATTATTTAGTTAAAAATCTATTATAATCAACTACTAAAGAGATATGATGGGCATAGCCAATATTACAAAGTAAGTTCATTCTGTTTTGCTCCTAAAACATCTTTATGAAAAAAAAATTTATTATAAATAATAATTCTATATAATATGTTTCAAAATTTAAAATTAACTTTGTAAGAACTTCACTTGAAGCTCACATAGCTCTTCAACTAATAGAAAAGTATGATTATCTTTTAATTTATTTTTCTAGTTTATCTCTTATTTTTATTATATATATAATTTTGATAACTTAAAAATATATTCAACTTAATTTAGAAAAAATCATTTGGTAAAAAATCAAATTGTGATATAATTATTTTCAAGCTTGTATTTATAATAAATATTTGAATGCATTTTATGAAATCATTTTATAAATGAATTTCTAAAATAAATATATAATTTTAAATAGATAAGAATAAAGATAAATTTACAACTATTATTTGGATATATAATAAAACATGGTATGTACAAAAACATGATTTGACAACAAACTTTTAGATTTTATATTTTTACTAATGTAGTTTAAATTGAAATGAGTATTGAAATCTTATATAGTAAAATTATTTAAGATCTTATAATACATAAGCTATAGTAACAAATATAAGAATAATTTTAAAACAATTGACTAGTAAAATATTGACATTAAAAGTTGTAACAACCTTCAACAAAAGATTACAAGGAGAAGAATTTTAAAAATATAAATAAACAAATAAGATGTATATCAAAGAGAGATGACAAAAAAATGAAAAAATAGATGTATGTAAGAAGAAATAAGAATTGATATTATTGAAGACAAGTAGACTAGAGTTTCTAAACATAAGATTAAGAATAACAGTAAGTACAACTCATGGCCAACTTGTTGGCTAAGTTTTTAATCTATTAATCACTTGTAAATACTTCTAAAGTCAAATCCACATCTGTAAAGCTTTTGAAAAGCTTTTCTATAAGATAGTATCAAATTTACTTATTTTTACTTATTTCTAAAAAATTCTTTTTATTTTATTGATTACTAGTGTGGTTATGTCCATGACATTACTCCTTTTTCTATAATCAAGATCTTTGAGGAGCGCTAATGACATATTAAAGAAGTCAAAGAAATAGCAAATTCTATCTGCTATATATATTTATGTACATAGATTTTTCTATGGAGATTGTTAATAGGTCCTTTCAACTATCAATAATGTTTTATACTATAGCAAAAGAACCACCTTACTATTTAATAATTGTTAAGGCTTATATAAGTTCTTTTAAATAAAATATTTGTAACAACATCTAATAGGAATCTATTTTTAATAATATTACCAAATATTGAATCCTTTTCTAGGTCATAATTGTATTTTAATAAAACATGTTGTATTTCACCATCTAATATAAAAATATGTTATTTTTGTAGATCTTCATCTCTATTATATTATTTTAAAAGTTATAACATTCTTAATAGCTTTTTTAATAATTCAATAAATAACAATTTATAAGTAGAATCTATTGGTTTTTTATTTTCCATCTTTTATAATGATAAATACATAAAAATTATAAATAAGAATATGAAATAGAGTACAATCTTTATTAAATCTGATTTTCTTTATAGCAAATAATTTCTTGCTTCTTCATCTTGGTTGTAATGAAGGTTAATAATAAGCATCAATCTTCCTTGTTGCATTTGCAAGATTCTTAAATGATATCCATACACATTTATTAATGGTATATTTGAACTAATGTAGAAGATGTTCTAATCACCTCTTCCACCTTAAACTCTTTGTTGTTATCCACTTCTATAAAAAAAAGTGGTGTTTGTTTGTTTGTTTTGTTTTGTTTTGTTTTGTTTTTTTTTTTTTTTTTTTTTTTTTGTATAACGACTATCTTATAAGGTTAAGAAGACATATATAAAATATATGATGGATCTTTATAAACTTGGATATGTATAATTGTTTTGCATTTGGATTTGATCTATTCACAAATACAAATTGGTTCAATCCTATGGTAATCTAACTTGTTATTAGAACAAATAGTCTTAATAATGTAATAAATTAATCATACCTTTATATCAATGTAGAATTGAGCTTTTTCCTTGTAATAGATATTTATGTTGATTATTTATTATTCTTGAGCTTTACTTAATTGTACCTTTGTTGTTGTATGTAATTCTAATAAAAAAATTGTCAAATTGCTTGTTATATGATTATTAACTTCTGAAAAATCAAAATATCAAATCATATATAATAACTATAATTAGCATAGAAAGGTGATAGTAGAATAGAAGAGTATATTGTGTTATTATAAGAAAACCTTGTCAATGACAAAAGAATTGTCCAATCATCTTGATGGTAGTTAATGGTACATCTTACATACTATTCCAATACTTCATTTACTTGTTTTGTTTATTATTAATTTGAAAATAGAAGGCCAAAGATTTTTTTATATCCTCATTTAACATCTTAAAAAGAACTTTCTATAATCTACATAAAAATTAAGTCCTTCTATATGATATAGTATTTGTTTTCAATCCATAATAGCAATAAGTTTAATTGAGGAAAAATCTCTTTTTTTCTTAATTTGAGATAGTTTTTTATATATATTACAAAATATGCTAATTTAGTGAAGTAATCTATTATTATAAATATAAAATTATAAGAGCTTGTGATTAAAAGATTTGTTATAAAATCCATAAAAATATATGACAATGGTTTTTTTAATATAAGTATTGGTTGAAAAAATCTATAAGGTTAACAATGGCGAAATTTTGATATTGAATAAATATCAAATAATTGTTCAAAGTCTTTAATTACCTTCTACATTTGAAGCTACCAAATTGTTTTTGAGATGAATTTCAATTTCTTGTTGTATCTAAGATATTCTACAGCTAGAAAATCATGACAAGCTTAAAGAACACATAATTATGTTTCATCTTTTGGAACATATAAATATTCTTTAAAATAAAGAATATTTTCTTGATTTAAACCTAGAAATATCATGAGATTTTAGAGAATTAGTCATAATATTATAAACAAGAAGATCTAAGGACATATTTGATTGAATTCAATCAAAAACTTATTAAATCAATAACCAATACTGATTTTAATGCTTAGAAATGAAATTGCTTTAGCTTCCAAAGAATACTTTGTTATTGATCAAAAGAATTTTTTTCTTTTAATGTAAGATATGAATATCTAAAAATGACATCTATCATCTTTTATTTTATTTTATTTTATTTATTAAATAATATTAAGTATAAATATTCATAAAAATATGTTTCTACAGATTTGACAGCCATTCAAAATATGTATTGACATAGAATACTTGAAATTCTTGTGAATTATTCAGATAAGTTTTATACTAAAAACCACCTTCCAAATAATAGTATTATTCTTAAAATAAATCCATAATTTTATACAGTTCTTTATTGTAGAT